GTGATGACACAAGAAATTCTTCAGCTCCTCTTTTCTTCCTTTTCAATTACAACGCACAGACTTCTCCTTGATCATCTTCCTGGCGGTAAGCATCACTCAGTTACAGATATGTCGGTAATAGAAAAAGTGGCAAGTGTGCCTACAACAAATGTTGCTCCAGAGCGAGATTTTGCTATTCTAGACAGATTAGTTAGAGAAAAGCCAAATGCGTCTGTTGTAGCACTGGAGTCTATGATTCTTTATTCCCACAACAAAACCTCATCCTGGCTTGAAAAGCAACTGTTGGACGATAGAAAGAAACTCATTGAAGTTGCGCGAAAATTGGCCCCATCAGTCAGGAAGAAGTTCAATGAGAGGCGCCAGGCAATAGAAGAAAGACGGGCAGATGCGCTTCTCAAAAGACAGGAAGATATTACTCGTAGAAAAATGCGGGCCACTCAAGAGAATGACAAGCTAACACAAGAAATTCAATCTATTGGCTTGTGGATGAATAGGGGGGATATTGAAAGAGGACTGCAGAACATATTAAAGAAAGCTGAAAAGCTTAGAATTTTAAAAGTGGAACTAAAATTCCGGCAGAAAGTTCTTACTCAGCCATATCCTGACAGTTCTATTTTTGCATTTTCGTCTAGAGGCAAAGCTCACTCTCTTGAAACATTGAAAGAAAATTTGTGCAAGCTGGTAGATGATGTTGAGCACCATGAGAATTCTACTTCTCCAGAGCAAGAAACACTTAAAGATATACTGCTCCAACCCGAACTACTAATAGGTAGAAGGATCAAGCACCGATTTGAAGTTGATGGTGAAATAGTCTGGTATGAAGGAGTCGTATATACAGCAGCTCAACTTTGTAACGAATGAGTTTCAGGTTGCATATGAAGGCAAAGAAGATCTATCTTGGTTTCCCCTCTTAGACGATATAAGGAGTGGTGATTTGTTACTTATCTGAAAGTGTGGTTTTATGCATTATAATGATCAATTCACTAAAATTATGTTCACAACGACACATAATATTAACAAGTCATTGAAAAGTCCAGTTTCTGACACTGGAACCATAGTTATGAGCCTTTCGATCTGTGGGATGGAGACCATTTTTTTCAAATATTCCAGAACAACCTCTTTGTTGCTTATTCTGTCCACAACAGCACATCCAAGATGATCAGGACCTTCAAACACCTTGCTTTCAAAGAGTACATGAACGTCTCCATCTGCTAGCCAAACACAATGGACCTTTTCAGCAACGTAGAGCTAGGGTTTATTTCATCACATTTATAAACGCAAATTCTTACCGTGTATTCCTTTTCGGCCATGATTTTGTGTAGAAAGCCTATATAACTTGCAGCTCAACCCGAATCCTGCTTTTGGGCACCAAGAAAGCCTTGTTTGTAGCTTCGTGCTGACACAACTGCACTTTGACCCCTGGCGCTCCGCCTTGGAGGTGTGGTCCTGAGGGAAACTTACGATTTTTGACTTGTTTCAGCCTCCGCAGCATTACCCTGCCGTTCGTGGATAAAAAGGTGATTTATCATTATATATAACTCAGACATAAAAAATTGTGCCATAGCCTGTACAGTGAGTAATATTACAATAAGCGGAGAATCGGGAATGCGTTCAAGACGGAAATTTACTTGATTGGAGCTAGCAACGTACGATGTTTATATCTCGTTACAATCCTTGTTTCATTATCTATCTGATTAACAAACTTTGAAAATTTTACTGACGTCGCTATCAATGCGCTCGGCAACTAGGAATGCGCACGAGCATATTTTGCCTCGCGCCAATGTCCGACTGAAGTAGGCCTGCGTCGATTATTCCGGGAATAATTTCGGGAATAATAGGTCCCTCTGGGAATAAGAATAATTCCAAGAATAATAGGTTGATCCAACTAAGGCGTTTGAATTGTAGCTCACTAGCTTGGGAGGAAAATCTATGAACCTAAATACAGCACCAGTAAGTACAACAATTCTACCAGACCTGGTGATACCATTGCCCCACCCATTACTTTACATAATTGTGCGCGTGTGTTCACTATTATCACTGCGCCGAGGGTTTGCACTTAAGTGCCTTTCATTTGCACTGAGTTTAGTTAGTTGCGACGAGCGGGCAACGGCGGCAACTCGGAACTCGCGGAAGGGCGAAGTGTGAGTGCCGAGTGGACGCGCGTCATGTTGCAGTACAATGATCGTGATGTTTATTTATGTGCCTGCTCTGTAGTACTGTTTTTTTTCATTTTTGAAGCAGAATAATAGGTAAATTTCTGTGAATAATGGGTAAACTTTAAAGAATAATAGGCATGTGGAGTAGGAAATTCAGAATAGAATATCCGGACAAATTGTGGGAATAATAGTCTCAGGCCTAGACTGAGGCCGCTCCTGCGCGCGCTGCATGCGCGCGACGCGCGCGACGAAGACGCACGGCGGAAATTGACATTCCCCCTAAGCGTGACTAATTGACATTCTTAAGCTCTACATTCCTAAGCGTGACTAATTGACATTCTTAAAGTGCAAACCCTCGGCGAACTGCGAATGTGCGGTACCGCTAATGAATGGGCTGGGCTTGCGGAGAGTCTGACACTGGCTAGCTACAGTAGTAGATAGCATGCGGGAGTCGATACACACCCTTCGCTGTGGCTTCTTGTGCTCCAAGGTATATACACAGAGCAAGCGGATCAGGTCGAGAGGTGAGCCAGCATACTGCGTCTAATACACGCATGCGCACCGCTTATTGATGGGTTGGGCCACGCAACGCTGTTCGTGACCGTGTCGTTTGTCGCTCTCGAACGCAGTCGTTTCAGCAAAATCGCCCATTTTATTTTTCTAGCCTATGTACCGCTAAAGCTGTTGGTATCGCTCATAAGCCGCCTCGTAGCCTGTAGTGCGAGAATAGTTGCGGACACACAGTCACACACACACGCACACACTGTAACCCTCGCTGCGCATGCGCGCCGAGGGTTAAAAATGACTACCACGATAACCCCACTGTGGTTTATGCACATACAGCTAAAGTATGAGGAAGTTGTATGGCCTCTTTATGTTCTAACTACCCGTATATACACTCAGCAGGAAGCGCTCACATGCATCTACGTTGTTTGGACTAGCTGGAACTCCTTTGATCTTACTCTCAGTCATCATACAAACTCGAAATAACCCGCTGTGGGTTTATAATACGCTCCCCACTGACCAACAGCTCGTTTTCTGACGGTGCACCACCAGTCATGAAGTGCGTTCTTTACGTTGTGTTGCAGGCGTGTGCTCTCGCTCTTCTCTGCAACACTTTGCCGGACCAAGAAGGTATATAGCTGCACTTGCTGCCTACACTGACTGCTAATCGCCTTTTTTCAGGCGATGGCTGTACGAGTGGGTTTATGAGTGTGGACAGAATGGATGACTTGCTGCGCAATGATGGCTATGTGATATCTGGTGAGAACTATCAGGGAATATTTCCAGAAGTCGGCTTCACGTGCAGTGGTAGTATTGAGGGCTGGGTGTTTGTAGCTGAGTGGGTAGGATGGAATGACAGAGAGTTTACAGAGCTACAGATATGGAGACCTACTGGAAATGGAGTCTACACTAAAGTTGGAAACACTACAATCATAACTGACAGGATCTACTCGGGGTTCTACGAGTATCCTCTCTCCTCTCCCCTGGACTTCCAAGCTGGTGATGTGTTTGGGTACTACCAACCCCATTCTACCCGGAGTCAGTTGAGATTGCGATTTGAAAATGGTGGACGAAGGAAAAATCAACCTGGTTACTACTACATTGGTTCGAGCTCAGCCAGTGACCTCTACCTACCTTGGGGGGCAATGTCTACCAGACATCAAACACTTGTTAATGTCATCACAAGTGAGTTGACTTTATAACAATAGAGTGTTGATGGTGACTGTTTTTTTTATACTTATAATTATAGATGCTACAGATTGTGTGAGAGGGTTTGTGAGTGTGGAGAGAATAAGACTACTTCTGGGTTTGGATCGCACCAATGGTATGGAATACAAGAGTCAACGTCAGCAGATCTCACCAGAGATAAAGATCACATGTAATGGGCTAATTACCAAATGGATCATTGGAGCAGATTGGAGTTCTAGTGTTAGTGCATACCTCTATCCTGAGATTCAAGTCTGGAGAAATGTTGGAAATGAGACATATCGGAAAATAAGTGGAACTTATGTCTTTTTTCCTTTTAGGGCTAGTGTGAGAGCTAATGGAATTTATGAGTACACAAAATTTGCACCAATACCAGTTGAATCTGGGGATATTCTGGGAATATTTACACCCAATCCTTCCAGACTTAATCTCTGGTTTGAGAATGACAACAGTGACAATCCCAAAGTCTACTACCGTTATACTGACAGTTCTGCCACATCATCTCCTTATGAAGAGCTAGACAGACAGAATAATGACCCTTTACTGGGAACAGCATCCTATTACCCCCTTGTGTCTGTGGAGATAGGTATGTAGCTCGCTATAGTGCCTTTATCTGAAATTTACATATTCTTTGTTTTCTCCCAGAGAGATATCCGACCTCATCAGTCATGGTACGTGTGTGCGCAGTGTCCACATATTATGTTGATGTTCACATGAGACTCATAACTTTGATGGTTATAATATATAGTACCACTAATTGTGTGCATTGGTCTCTCCCTGCCCACTCATTCTCCTAATAGGCAGTCTGGCTTCACTTCCCTTTCTACTCACCTCACTTCTCGATCTTCCTTCCTCTCAGATTCTTCCCAGCTCCTCGCTGATCTCCACAGCTACCAGCCCTCTCCCCACCTCTAGAGCTCCTATACCTTCCACCGACCAGCCCTCCTCCTCCTCCTCCTCCTCTGGCCAGTCTTCAGCTGCCATTGCTGCTGGTGTGGGTAGTGGAGTGGCTGTGGCTCTGGTTCTACTGATAGTGGTCCTCATCCTTGTCATTCTGGTGGTGTTTCTCATGAGAAGGAGACAGGACTCCAAACCACTGGAAAATGTGGAACATAAGGGTGGATTTAGACCTCTGGGAAATCCAGTTTACACAGGCAAGCAGATTAGCATGATGTATTTTTAGTAAGCAAACCACTTCATAGCTGACAGTTGTAAGGAGAACTAAGCTTGAAGGTTTTTTTGACTAAGTTTTGTGAGACAAACTTACACCAGTGCTGTGAAGAGAGAAGGACCTCAGTTTTGTCTTGCTCTGCCCTTTTTAGTCTACGCAAAGCAAAGCTTGGTGCACACACGACGTTTTAGATTCACAAGCAGTTTTATGGTATGGATGTGGACATTTCTGACCCAACTACGTGTTCTTACTGAAAATGTTGAAATATGCATGTGATTCCCTGTGTGCATCCACCTGCCTCATGTATGGTAACACACACAAACACACAGGTGAGATTTCAGGTTCAGGACGTGCTAGTGCAGCAACAGATCACGCACTAGGCGAGCTCTACGAGACTCCTCAGACGCAGGACGAGGGAGAGGCTGTGTACGATGCACCTTCACCTGAGTATGGCGGGGCCACTAATGCCAGTACTACTTTTGCCAAGTTCGATAACCCGCTCTACGAGGATAACTGAACGTTTTGATATCGTTTTTTTCTTTCCTCTTTTGCACTAATTTTACGGTGTTTTTTTGGTGAAAACTGTCACTTTTTGTTGGCAAGCACCGAACGGCGCGATTAATTACGACCGTCTAAGTGCGCATGCGCGGCTTCGTTACGTGCCCCAGGTTAAAAGAGCAATGAGGGTCAAGGCCAATTACAATGCAGTGTGGGCGGGTCCCTAGGTAATACAGGCAATGACAGGTCCTCACAAATAATATGCCCCTGTAATCAGATATTAATGGCACTTAATAAACATTCACACACGCTGCCTCGCGATATGCGCCGATCGATCAAGCCAGCGAGAGAACTCTCCTCGGCATGCGCTGCAATCGCTGCCCCGTAGCTGTAGCTAGCTAGTAAGCTCAGCATCATCGATTCTGCGATTGATTGGTCTAGAGAAGATGCCCTTCGTCGTCGACGAGAAAGGGAAAGAGTCGTGCCAGTGAGACTTCTGAGTAAAGAGAAGCTCGTCTTTCTCGATAGCGACTGCGTGATAGGGCACGGGGAAGGCAACGCCTGGCCACGGAAACAGCGGAAGAAAGGGAAGCACGACTAGCGAGAAGTCGTGTAGCTACGAGCAAGAGCTACACGTGCTGCAGAATCAGAGGAAACGCAACAGGCCAGGCTCCAACAGATCCGAAGCTATCAGACAAGGCGAATTGCCGTCAAAACAATCATTGTGTGCTCGCTCCCGCTCGCCAAAAATGCCATGCATTCGCCTACTAGCATATAAGCAACGATCTTATTACATAACGAGCTAAAAAATTAAATGAAAAGCACTAAAGTGCAAAACCCTCGGCGGCGTGAAACCACGTAATGTGGTTTGGGCCATGTGTCACATGCGTGGTTCCACGCCGCCTAGTACTGTTGTGTCACACTGCGGACATCTTCAGGCGTCTATCGCGCTCTCCATCGGTCAGCCCCCTCTGCCTACAACGCTCGGAATGTAGATGAGTGCTGATTGCCAGCTCAAATGAAAAGCACTGAAGTGCAAACCCTCGGCGCATTGTGACGCGCACGCGTGAGTAAATGCATGCGCTGTATCACTAATTGATGGGCTGGGTTTAGTTCTGGCTGTTACTCCTGGTCTCTAGCCATCTCGCGCAGAGTCTGACGCGGGCTAACTACACTACTAGACAGCATGCGAGAGGCGATACACGCCCTGCGTTGCATCTTCTGGTGCCTCCGAGGTCGCAGAGCACGCGGATCGATCAGACCGCGGTAAGCCGTTGCGTATTTGCATATTGGCTTTTTCGTGCTCTAGCTTTGCAACGGAGCATTTTCAGAGAAAACCGCCTTTATTTTATGACCTTCGTCGCCCGTTGGGTAGATGGTATCGTTTCTGGGACGAACAGACGTTCGAGAAGTGAGATGTAGAGTAACAGACAGACAGACACACACACACACACAGACAGATCCAATGAAAAGCACTAAAGTGCAAACCCTCGGCGAAATAGCTCGCAGAGAGTCTGACACGGGCTAGCTACAGTAGTAGATAGCACGCGAGAGTCGATACACGCCATTCGTTGTGACTTCTTGTGCCTTCAAGATAGACAGAGCAAGCGGACCCGGTCGAGGTAAGCCTGTGCTAAATATAAGCGCATCCGCCAGCTATAAAATGGCGACTACCGCATTAGCCATACAATGCTGGAAGCGCTCTAGCTCTGCAACGGAGCATTTTCAGAGAAAACCCCACATATTTTCTGACCTTCGTCGCCCGTTGGGTAAATGGTATCGTTTCTGGGACGAACAGATATTCGAGAGGTGAGATGCAGAGTAACAGACACACACACACACAGACAAACCCAACTACAGTAACCCTCGCTGCGCATGCGCGCCGAGGGTTAATAAGTATTTGCACCAGAAACGACCCTCGAGTGATGCCCTCAAACCACGGCCGCTCAACGGTGGCGAAAACACGTGATCATTGTGCGCAACCCGCCAGTGTAACACACGCATGCGTTTATTTCTCGCTTCCTAGAAGTAAGCGAATAACATTGACGTGCTTGCCATAGGACGCCGTAGTTATACGAAAATAGTCTTTTTAAAAATGAACCCAGTGTAGTGATGAACCTGTTGGTATCGCTCTTTCGTTGTCTCGTTGGCCTCGTTGCGCGTGGTTGCGGTAAATGAGGGTGGATTTAGACCTCTGGGCAATCCAGTTTACAGAGGCAAGCAGATTAGCATGATGCATTTTTAGTAAACAAACCACTTGGATTTAGACCAGGAAGACGAACTACTGATGCAATCACACAAGAAGAGAAATAAGCCACTGTTTGCGTCTTTTGTAAATTTTGCAAAAGCATTTGAGTTGGTTAATCACCAACTACTTTGGGAGTAAGCACAAAGATAATCAGAATACCACTATCAATGTACACAAGTGCATCCTCGAGAGTTGCAGTAAAAAACAAACTTTCCTCTTTGTTCTCCTGTTCTAAAGGAGTGAGACAAGGATGTACCTAAGTCCACTCCTATTCAGCCTATTCATTAATGACATAGAATCACATCTATCATCAAATAGGGCTGGCAGCATAACACTTACCAACCTCAAAGTGCAGCTATTGCTTTTCGCAGATGACTTGGTGCTATTGGCAGATTCACGTCAAGGTCTACAAGACTCCTTTGACAGACTGAGTGAGTATTGCCAGGCTTGGAAATTCAAGATAAACATTGATAAAACAAAGGTTGTGGTGTTCTACAAGAATCAATCTTATTGCCATGCCCCGTTCCTATTAATGGAATTTGGAAGTGCCTTGGCATTGTTCTATCCAGCAATAAACCAGCTTATCATGACTCTGGCTAATCAGGCGACTAAGGCACTCTTCTCTCTTTTCCGAGTCACAGCTAAACTCTCTTTCCCTGATCCGTCACTGACCTTCTCTTTGTATGGGAATGAAGTATGGGGTTGTTTCCCAGCAGATGAGCTGGAATCTGTCCATATCTAGAAAATTTTGCAAACTTGTCTTCGGGGTTCCTAGATCAGCTGCCAATATTGTTTGCTATGCACGGGATCTAGGGCGAACCCCATTACTGATCAAGAGGAAGGTCTCACTTATTCAGTACTGGTACAGGGTAGTCTCTAATTGGGATGTTTGTTGAAGATGCTTATAGTCTCTCTAAATCCGAGCAGCTTCAATGGGCAAGGTTTGTCAAAGACACCTTAACTATAATGCCGGCTTCCCAGATGTATCAACTCATGGTCGATCAAATGGGTATTTTTAGCTGAACTGGAGCAACGCCTTACTGACCAATACATCCAAAGTTGCTAGGCAATTTAAGGGACACATCTGGAAAATTACGCACATACAAGCTATAATTAAACAGAGAGAACCATATCTGTCACTCCCGCCATATTTAAGAGTTCCAATCACCAGACTAAGAATCAGCAGCCATTCTCTGAGAATTGAAACTGGGAGGTATAATCTGCCTGCTCCACTCCCTCCAGATCAGATGGTTTGTTGGTTTTGCATGGGAGACAGTGTCAATGATATTGAGGATGAATTGCATTTTCTCTTTATATGACCAGGAAAGGCTTCAGCTCTTTGCCAAATGTGAACAAGTCAATGAATCGTTCCAGTTTTTAACTGACATTGACAAATGAAATTTTATTTCTCAAACAGACAACAAACAGCTACAATGACATCCAGATCAGAAGGCAGTCGTGGCAAACTCTGGGCGAAGGAGGCCACATCCTGTGGCAGGTTGACTACATGTCCTGTGTACCCGTACTGTCCCTGTGGCAGTCTATACAGCGACATGATGGGCATCACTGCAGAGATGAGGAGCATCTCTTCCACCTGTGTCAAACCCTGCGAAAATGTAATTAAACAGTATCTGGTAATAGTGTTTTTCTTTGTTATAGGTATGACAATCGTTACAATAGGTGTGGCAATCATAACACTCTTCCCATCCCATACTTACAGATAATTCATGTGACCAGGGTCCATGTTGTTCAGTGATGAGTAGGCTTTAGGACTGTGTTTGTCCCGAACACAATGCAAACACTCTGTACCAGATGGAGTCATCAGGATAGTCAATCCAGGGAACCTCTCACAGCAGGTGATGCACAGGGAAATCTGCAAAGATGCCATTTCAGAATGGAACTTGCTCATTTTTGATTGGACAATTGAAGAGAGGGAGAGGTGGAGGGTGATGAGGGGAGGGCAGCAGAGGTTCTGCCAGTGTTACAGGCTCTCACTACTGCGGTTGAGAAGTGTCTTAGTGAGGAACAAGAGACTCTGGGGAAGGTCAGTTGCTGGACGATAAGTATATATAATTATGTATACCGAAAAATCCGCTCGAACGGACGACTAGATACACTACGAATAATAATGTCACTGTTCGAGGGCAGCGTTTGTAAATTGTGGCTTGTTTAAGCATAAACTCATCCCTTGTCATCAGTATATACCGTCAGTGAGTAATAGTTCTATAATATAATTATGTTGAAAATATTGTCCCAAGTTACTTCTTGTTTGGAAGTGTTTCTGACATGCGTCTTGAGTCTGGGCAGTGCCACCAAAAGAAAGGCTGAGTGAGTGCAGGTGTGGAGTTCACCAGTGGTCAAAGATTTCTTTAACCAGCCACAGGCCAGGGCACAATGTAAGCTGTGCTAGCTGGCTCTCTATAGTATATACTCCCCCACATATTTTATTGTGGATGCTGATAATTTTGCTACCCCACTCTTTTGATACCTTTTAGAAATCTTGTCACAGCTATATACAAGTCTCCTTATGCTACTGCTTTGTACAAGCTCGCACGTATAACTTGATTTTATAGCCCTCGTTTTGTAGCTGTTTATCTCTATAGATATCAAGTGAAGCCCCAGTTGGTGAATGGAGCTGACTGGTGTGGTTAGCTACCTCTTAGGTGCAAGTAAAAATTGATTCATGCACAACTATATAAGGGGGTACAGGTTGTGGTTGTAGCTAGCTGTAGGGGAGAGCCAAAACTGCTGCAGAAGAAATCGCCACACAATGAGGAGTCAAAAACACGACTTGCGTAAGTGGATAACTTTTTCTTCCGGATGTGAGACCAGAAACATTGACTTTGTGGACTCTTGAAATTGAGACCCTTCTCCCAACAAAACGAGCCCATCTCCCCTTGTGGCTATGGTCTTCTGCATGAGTGCCACAAATGCAGGGTTATGTCTCAGTGCTGTACTGGTGAATGTGCTATCCCAGTCTGACAAGGTCATACCTTCCTTGACAGTCCGAGATATAAAATTGTTTACGTAAGGCAAGATGGCATTCATGACATTCTTATTGTGACGAAAAAACACCGAGCCATAGTGTCCTACATCGAGGCAGAGTGCTACATTTCTTATACCAAACTGTGATTTCACTTTACTCAATTTTTTGTGTAAGCGGTCAAGACAAGTTTTGACTATTGGGCCCATTATCGTCTTCGACCAGATGACAGTCTCAAGCTTCACCATCACGGATATATAGGAGCTTCCCATCAAATGCTTGTGAATGTAGTTGTCGGCACTTGTCATGACAAGTTTGCTAGGTCTGATGTTCAAAGTACTGTTCCACATTTTGTTTCTCTGGCATAGTGGTGTGTCCATCCACAACCGGAACCTTTCTGCTCCAAAAGACGACACACCAGCAAACAGGGGAAATAAGACCGCCACTTCAGACTTGTTGTAGCGGCTATAGAGCTGACTATTGAGCTCAGTCAGGCTCATGGTACCACTCGCTCCATACTTGAGGCAGACATGACCGACAATTTCGAAACCATTCACTTTCGAGAATGTTCGTCCTTGTTTAAGTACATGCTCATGGCCACACTTCTTACAACGTTTCAAGTCCCTGCACTCGTACTGAGCAACTAACACTTTGCGATGAGCATCCTGAAGGAAGGTTTGATAAGGCACCAATGAACTGTAGCCCCTGGATTTGGCAAAATGATGGAAATTGCCAGAGTCAAAGATGTCGCTGAATGAAATTTCTTGTCGCCAGTTGGCACTGACATTCTGACCTATATTTGATCCAACTATAAACGGCTCAACAACTCTGACTCCACCGACTGCTGAAGAGAGACACAACAAGGTCATGAGGTTCACAAACGCCCCAGTACCCTGGTCAGAGTAGTGCAGGGCCAGCCAGTATCCACTGCCACTCATGTTTCTTGGTTTAATCGAATGAATTTGCCCTCTTTCGCCAGTAACATCAATAGATGATTGCTCCTCATCCTCTGAGTCACTCACAGTAGCATACAACCCATCATGTTCATGGCCATTTTTGCCAGTATTCTCACTAAATAAAAACTGCTTTTCTTTAGGGATTTCTATAGACATTGACAATGAGTAGGACTGCGATGGAGTCATGTGCACTACTGGGATCCAATTTGTCGGGTTGAGTACAAAAACAATCCCCACAGTCATGAGAACGAGAAGTGTGAAAAGGGCTTTAACACAACTCAATGGGAGCCTCAGTATCTAAAGAGAACGGCAATATAATTATTGTGCAACCCCATGTTTCAGCCAACAGGTAAACCCTTGCACAATCAATCAAACAGATTATAAATCTGTCGTACCAGTGAGCTCCTTCCATTTACACTACCTAGGCACTTTTTCTACAACAAGATGGCACATCATGTCTCAGGTCTCACCACAACAAGGCCGAGATCGTCAGGGCGCCTCTCGCGTTGTACCATGGCCTGCTCATCAATCGAGGAGTCACAACGTCTACGCATGCGCATATGGCGACACCTGGGTGACTCCCTCTGCTTGCGGGGGACGCGTGGCTACACGAAATTTGCCCTCGTGCTACAAATCTCGGAGTAAAATTATACCAGTGGGTCCCGGTTAATATCATACCCGCCAAAAAATATGAAAACATGCGATAATGCGGGCGCGTATACCAACGTATAATTAGATAGCGCACAATGCAGTTTGTTTAGCTAAGCTAATTAGCCTAGCAGCTAATGAAGACAGGTGGAGAATGGAGAGTTGCAAAACTTCAGCCCAAGGTTGTAGAATGCCTAATTACGCATGCACAATAATGACAATATGCGGGCAAAAACCAAAATTGCTCAATTTTTCTATGATAGTAGGCGTGATATGACATTATCCGTATTGTATGTATTCTATAAAACGGAGTAAAAATGTATGGGAAAGCATAGGAAATGGTTATGGGATATTCTTGTGACCCACTGTATATACTACTAGCTCAGAGGAGGTCGGACACGGTCACGTGAATAGTACAAGAATTTCAATTAGCGCGTTGAGGAATGCACGACCTTCGACGACTTGCTCGACTATGCTTAGATTTTTGACAAAACAGACGGAGCATTCGCTTGAAACCACACGGGGAGTTGTAAAAAAGGATCAAAGGAAGGTACTGTGCATTTAGCTTAGCTTTAGGGCTCACGCTGTGAGTGTGACAGAGTTATTAGTATTCTTCACTATATCTTGCCGAGCGGTAGGGGATCGCTGGGGATAATAGGATTTTCAGTATCTTTCTTACATAATTATTACATCGAGTCAGTTGCAAATCCTCTCCGAATCCCGCTTGGTTTTGCTACAGCACGCTCTTTTATCTCCCCATACGTTCTTTACGGGAAAGAAATTGCTGTGTTAGCATTTACAATGACGCGCATGTCCGACCTCCTCTGGTGGTGGTCTGGTCGCGTCGATCCATGATCCTATCACTGTTCGCGCATGCGCAATTACCCCAATGCTCAATTGAGTGGCGTATCTCGAAATGGCCGCCGAGGGCCTTCTTTCTGAATATCCTGAGCTGAGACCGTTCGTGCTCTCCAACGTAAGAGAGGTCGGAAACAAAATCGGCGCCGGAGCCTATGGCACCGTGGAGGAGGTGGCCGTACCTGGAGCCATCTGCGCAGCCAAAAAGATCCACGACTTCTTCCATGACCCGCGACAAGTCCCGAGCGGCGCTATCCGCAGAGCCACAGCCAAGTTCGTGAGGGAATGTCAGCTGATGAGCACCCTCCGCCACCCGAACATCGTCCAGTTTCTGGGATTGTGTTTTCTGCCCGGCTCGCGACTGCCAGCCCTCGTCATGGAGCGAATGCTGACAAGCCTTCACGACTTGCTGGACCCAGAAACGGACCCTCCTCCCCCGCCCGACGCGCCTAAGCCGTTCTTCCCGCTGAGCCTAATGTGCTCGATCTTGCACAATGTGGGGTGCGGCCTAGCCTACCTCCACGAGCGATCGCCGCCCGTCATCCACCGCGACTTGTCGGCCAGAAATGTTCTCCTGAACTCGGGGATGGTGGCCAAGATAGCGGACCTTGGTGTGGCTCGTATTGTACCTCGTATGAGAGCTGCAGCCACCATGACAAAGGGACCTGGGGCCATAATTTACATGCCTCCAGAGGCCATGGAAGACAAGCCAGAAGGTGAAGAAAAGAATGATACACAAGAGGAAGAATCAAAAGCAAAATACGATGCCAGCATTGATATCTTCTCCTTCGGTGTTGTTGCCATTTTCACACTCTGCCAAACCTTTCCTGACAAATTACTAGCTCCCAACTATCGCGAACACGGTCGTTTGCTTGGTCGAACTGAGCTAGAGCGAAGAGAGAAGTACATGAGGATGATCTACAGGCAGTTACGCGAGAAGCATCCTCTCCTCCAGATGATTGAGGGGTGTCTGGACTTTCCAGAAGACCGGCCGAGCATTCGTGAGGTGCTGCGTCTGTTGGAGGAGGCCAGAGCTGAAGTGAGAGACGGGCAGACAGACATGAACAAACTGGAGCTTTTGCGAGCTCTTCAGACCCAGCCCAGGAACCAGGTGATGAGTGTGTGAGTGCTAACTCTGTGGCCACTGCAAATGAAACTTGACCTCACTGTTAAAAGTGGGGTGTTAGAGCAACACCTTTTGGGGTGTCCGTGGGACTGTGCCGGTTTGTCACCCTTGGGGTGTTAGGGTGGCAGGGGTTGGCGCTATGACACCAATCACGGCGTCATGCAGTTATTCTGGGCGTCGAGAGTCAATATCGTGGCGCCAGCGCTCTTCCTCGGCAGTCGACACTGGGCACAGTGGCAGTGCGCATGTGCCGCACGTGCGTTCTGTAGCTATGACCTCTGAGGGGAGTGCAGCAGATACAGGGCTCACTCAACCGCTAGTATCAGCCTATAGTTTCACCCCCTAAATAAGCATTGAAATGTGTATGTGCATGTATAATTTGATGCAATAGTGTCACACGGCGCCAAACATTGCCTTGGCACCGAATTTGCGGCTCCACACAAATTTTTACCTTCACCCCTGCAGGGTGGGCGTTAAGCATCACCCATAAGAGTGTACAGGAACACCCTTTCTGGGGCAATGTACACTCATACAGTGCTTTTTAGCCTTTCTGTTGATGCTACAATACACCCTTTGGGGTGTTCATAAACATGGATTGGGTGCTGCTTCAATTCTTCATTCTGTTGTGCAGAGTTTGGAGAGAGATCTACAGTCTCGTGTGCAAGAGCTACAGCGACAGTTGCTGTCCAGAAACCAGGTGAGGGACTCTGTGATATACAATAAAGTTTTGATGGTAAATTCTCTAATTAGGAGAATGCAGATTTCCAGTCAAGTGTGCAAGAGCTACACTCCAGTAACCAGGTATGGTATTATTTAAGTGTTATTGTAGTAAGATGTTATACTCAGCTCTCTGCAGGCTAAGGACAGGGATCTTGCTGCAACTCAGCAGCAGCTGAGAATGAATGTAATTTGCCATGTGTGTATATGATTGTCAGGTCTTGAAATTATCTTCCCCACTCTAGGAGGAACAGCTAGCTAGACAGAACGTGGAGCTGATAAGAGTAGAGGAGACCATCAGGAGAGAGCAGCAGCAACTGAGACAGAAGGTTTAGAGCAAAACATTATTGCAATAATGTGTCTTACTGGCTGTAGGAGGAAGAGCTCCAGTCCAGTGAGAGGGAGAAACAGACAATCAGACAACAGCTGACGAGAAAGGAAACAGAGTTAGCTGAGACTCAGCAACATTTGAGACAGAAAGTAATAATGATAGCTAACTGCACAATGTGAGGTCCTCCTTACTGCAGGAAGAACAGCTACGATCAAGTGAGGCTCGTGTGGCTGACTTCCGGAAGCAGATAGACTCAGAGACTCGGAAGACAGAGGTCAACATAATTTTTTTTTACTTTAATCACAGCCTGCACCCTTGGTTGCAGACTCAGTCTGGTGGCCTAGCAACAGCTATACCCCATTCCGTACCACCTGCTAGAGCTAAACCGAGCAAGGTATGCGTGAATTTTTCAAGGTGGAGGCTATGAAATACACCACCTTCCCTTGCTACATCTCAGGGGGTAAAGCAATCGTCAGGGGGGAGGTAAATTGTCCCCCTGGCCCCCTCCCCCTTGGTATGCAGCAAAACCAACACACACTAGATTTGCACAGAAACATATCACCAGGCAGACAATGAATTTTTCTAAGGGGAATCATCGCAGTTGAGCTTCTGCTGTTGTAATGACTGTAGTAGCTAACAGACAGACAAGTACCTTGACCTTCGGTGCACATGCGTGTTATAGGATTAAGCATTGTGATCTCCCCTCAGCTTACTGTGCAGTGTCATCAAAAGAAGACAGCACCATGTAACATGAGGAGAGGATGTGCAACAACTGATGGTCGTTTTGCATACTTCACCCCATGGCTCTCCGCCTCAGTCTACCGATACAAAAGGAAGACAGACAAATGGAAGGAACTTCCTTCATGTCATTACCAGGACTCTGGACTAGTCATTATTGACAAGGAACTAACTGCTGTGGGGGGATATGATCAATTTCGTACAAACAAACTATTGACCCTACGACAAGGGAAATGGATTGAGGAATACCCTCCAATGAAAAGCGCACGTTCTTCCCCTGCTGTAGTTTGTACATCTGATGGAGAATACCTCATTGTGATTGGGGGGTATGTTGGTGGTGGTCGTTGGACTTCTGTAGTTGAACTATTTCAAGTCAAGAGCAGAAGCTGGTACAAGCTAACTGACTTACCAATCCGTCTGGAGTTCCCTTCAGCCACTCTATGCGGTTTATTTAGTGCATGTGATAGGAGACGATGATAAAGGCTACACGTTTTCTCTTCAGGTTCCACCATCCAGTGACAAACTTATCCCACTGCAGATACCGACCATAATACAACCTCTCCCTCCTCTACCAGTGACACACTCAACTGCTGCCACTCTCTGTGGACAGCTAGTACTCATTGGTGGCGAGGGGAGTTTGTCAGAAGTCAACTCCATTTACCAGCTAGTGGACGGGCAGTGGGGAGAGATTGGCTCTATGGCTAATGGGAGGAGTTACTGTTTAGTAGCCAGTCCATCCCCAGACGTGATTATCATAGTGGGTGGATGGGGAGCAAAAGACAGTGTTGAAGAATTTATCGCTGTTTAGTTATATGTGCTGTATAAAATTGCCTCTATTTTTTATGCACATGCTATTATACCAAGTCACACTGTGCGGCGCAAATGCTTAATATAACAAAGAGTGGAAGAACACTGGTTAACTATGCAGTTAAGGTCATTCATTAAGCGCATTCCTAATTATTAATTTTGGTTGTCGTGAATGCATGACGTTTGTAGCACATGCTTAAAAAACCTCTATGTACGTCTTATGGTTGGATTCTGTCTTTGTACACATAAAAGCTAGCTAGCTATTTTTTTAACATGACATCCTCCTTTGACCAGTTACTAGTTGGGGCAAAGTCCCAATATTGAAAAGGAGATGACAGTAGCTATTACATTGTATGGGACATTATGCTTTTAGAAGCAGGGCACCGCCAAAATTTATCACTTAAAGCTGTAAAAACACTTGTTAGCTACACTGCAAACACTCATGGGTAGCTAATATCCTACGCAAGCAAAGATCAGTAAGATAATTGATGGTGCAGGGCTATGGTGCTGTGTTAGCCGTGACTCACCACTGAGAGTCAGAGTCAGAGTGATGGGAGAAGGAGGAGGAGTATAACACAGAGCCACCTGACACCCTCAATAATAAAATTTACAACATTCTACCACATAGACTGGTTTCCTATTAATGTTGCAGCTAATATCATGAACACATTTTTGTATATACATCATCATGATTTTTTGTATGAGTAGGTCGACAGTCCATGGTGTGCTGTCACACGAGCGAGGCGACTGCGCGCGCATTAGAGTTTCCGCGCGCTCATCGCTCGTTCCGCTAACGGATTTTCTCCATAGCAAGTCACCATGGTAGGTGTGATAAGAATTATGGCGCTTCTGTTGGCAGTTATAGCAGGTGAGCTACTTAGCAATGACTCGGCGTGTTTTTGTACGCTACGTGTTTACACAGTTAGTGCTGCAGCAGAGTGTCCTTATGGCGCAAGTCCTCCAGTGGCAACCATTGGACAGGAGATGGTCATCAAGTGCAACTTATTGCTATGCTTTAAGAGTGTCTATGAGTGGTGTAAGGTTAATGGGGCTGAGTGTATTAAAGTTCAAGATGAGACAAGTGATGAACTAGTTGTGTCTGAAAATGTTTCATCAGCGACAGAGGTTGGAGGTCAACAATATGAATGTCATTGCTCCGGTAGCTCCAGTAACTGTAAAAAGTACAAGATTGCAGGTACATAATGTATACATACATATACGTACATGTCTGTGTTTTTGTATGCTTGGGTATGTTATTGTCTGTGTTTTGTGTGCTTGGGTGGGGGAGGTTCTTTCTTTTCCTCTGATATTATACTTTTAGCTAGTATGCTATAAACATGTTTTTTCATGATAGATATTAATACAGCAATAGGTCGTGGTATAGTAGCAGTAAGTAAACATACTTGTTCCCACCCACAAGTGAATAATCACTACGGAATGTGTAGTTTGATTATATTCATAGGGGATAGATGGAGGAAATTCTAATTGTCATGCATGTACACACACTACACACATCGCACACATACATACATACATACACTCACACAGTTGAACCAAGCGTCAAATTATCACTCAGCCCAAAAGTGGTAAGGGTAGGAAGCAGTGTTGATGTCATATGCAGAGCAGAGAGTTATCCACCAGCAAACAATGAAGACAACTATCAAATCAGACATCCACACAACAAAAATATAAGTCACATGCTCCTTGAAGATGGAAGTGGTGTTGTGCATCAAATCCAAGCCGCTAATAAGAAGGAAGACACTGGTGAGTATGAGTGCACTGTGACCCTGACACTAAGTGATTATGGAGAACGGATTCAGAGTGAACTCTACAAAGCCAATCTCATAGTCTATGGTACGTATATATTGTGCTTGTGATTGTTGTATTATTCGGAAACTTGACTTAATGCTCATTTTTCCAGATCCACCTACTATTGTTGGAGTTAGAAACTTCACTCTTACAAGTCTTGACCAACAGTCAGCTGTCCTTGAGTGTGTTGTCAGGAACACGCTCCTAGAGGTGTGGATTAATTGGACTCTGAGCACCAGAGTACCAATCACAGCTGAACACACCACCTCTCAAAACGGTGACACTTTTTACTTGCTTCTTTATAGTGCGACTCCCGGAGAGTACACATGTAATCTGTTTTCCACTTACTCTCTTGGAGAGCCAGACAACACTGCAACTGCTTCAGTTAAGAACGGGTCAGGTGAGGTAGCTAGATGCAATGGACTTAATGATTTTTTTACTTTTGACAGGCACATTTTGTGACTGTAGAAATATGGAACCAGCTAAAGGTACGTATGGCTACACAGGCTATGTATAATGAAACACTAATCCTTTTGCAGATGCTGCGATAATTTCTGCAATTCTTTCTATTGCCATCATTGGGCTTCTGGTTATAATAATATCATTATTCATTGTTGTAAAAGTAGTAAAAAAGCGTGGAAGATCTTTACAAACACTTGCAATGGAACCTAATGAGGTGCATGGTGAAAGATACGTTGATCTAACAGAATTTGGAGCTACCTCCAAAAACTTTGCTGAAAACAAAGGTTTTGACAATAACGACTTCAAAGGAGATGACCGAAAAGAGGAGCATGTTGAGAACACAGGAACACCCACACCCAGGGAGGACACACTGGCGAGCATGGAGTTGAATGTCGACCCTCGCACAGAACCATCACCACCAGTTTCACCAGTAACAGTTGAACCAGAGGTGGAAAAGAGCGACTTTGACGGTGAATATTATGACGAGAACATTGATGTATTTCCTCCAGCCAGTCCTGGTAATTCAGGAGAACCACCTGTATTACCAATACCTCGTAATCGTGCCGACCGTCCAAGAAGTGCATCAAGACGTTTGTCTGGTACAGATTATCACGAGCTACCTGAAGAAACATTTGATGAGAAAACTGCTCCTGCCCAGCCATCTCGCCCAGGGAGTGCTTCAAAATCTGGAAGACGCCGCTCTTTGTCATTAAGGTCTTCTGTCTCACTAGATCCAATAGAAACTGAATCTCTACTTAGTGAAGATGCAGCTTTTCAGCCTAAGAGGCTATCATAGACTATAAATATCAAAGGACTGATGTTAAAAGCTAACTCGACTAGTAGTCACGTAGTGTACCTGTGATGCAGAGTATATGGACATATTTTTCACAGTGTTTTCGTCTCCTTTAATAATAAATGCCACACAAGTATATCATCAAATTCCACTGCCATTGGCAAACAAAAGCAAACCTACCTATAGTCGTCTCATCAAATTGTGCAATTTCAAATAGACGAGCACAATCGTCACTAAGGCCATGCTTTAGGTAAGGCAAATTTCGCACTTGCATTCGCTCACCAAAAAATGTGATAGCTAATTTACATAAGTACCACATGCTGCTAGTTTTGAATTACAACCCCCTATTTCAATGTCAGCCTAACATCCAGCTTTTGTATGTAGTATGCAAGTTAAGCTTGAGCTGTTATTATACACATGTTCTTGATAAGAGTTCTAAATGGATGGATGATAATAATTAGTCTTCATCTGAGTGTTGTTCTTCCTCACTACCACCAACTATGAATTTTGGATCCTTCCCTTTGTCTGGGAGCAAACTCTCCTTCTCTTCTTGGTTCTTGTTGCGCCTGGAGAGGGATGGTCGTCTCGGTAGATCACTGAGACGCCGTGCCAAACTGCTATGTTCGTAGCCGGTTAGGAGTGCTTTTGGAGGTGATCCAGGGTTCAGCGACTGGCTCCTCATAAAGAACCGTGAAATTGAATGAGAAGGACTGGAAACTTGGAGATCAGATGTCTCGCCGTATTTCACAGACTTGCCTGCCTGTTTGTTTTCTTTCTGTTGACTTGTGTCAGGCTGTAATGAAACTCCATCGTCTTTGACTGACTTGCTTTCACTTTCAACTTGTTCAGGATCCCGAGGCGATGATTCTGAAATGGACAATTGTCTTTCAAAGGTTTCCGATGCCCTACTCTCACTGAGATGACTCTGTGGCTGAGGTTGACTGTCTGATAGACTGCTACTGACTAACACCTTTTGTTCAGTTTCAACACTAACGACAGAGTCCACTGTTTGTATATCAGTGTGTTCATTTGGTTCAGATATGAGGCAACTTGATAAATCATGCCCCTCTGGAGGTTCCTCCTCTTGTAGGCTTTCAGTTTGGCACCCTACCTCAGCCGTGACCGACTCCTGGACAGAGATCTGGGGATGTACACTTTCCACATTACTAGTGGTGGTAGCATTTGATTCTCCCCTTTCGAGGACATCCGTCATACGAACACCAGAAATTGAAGTTGATGATTTGAGTGTTGAGTGTTTCCTCCAGAGACAAACTAGCCCCGCAACAAGACCTATGACAGACACAACTAACAGCAGTGTCAGAATAGACAGGCACACTAGTGCAATAGTCAGAGCAGATGTCCCACGATCACCTACATAATGTGATTAGCTTGGTAAAAAGGTGCAATAATAATATCGACAATAAAGCCTACCTCTTTTCGTGACACCACCTGCAGAGGGAGTGATACATAGTAATTACTCCTTACACCAATTGAACCAAACAGCTTAACATACAAGATTCATGAATTGTGTTGTTACAACCCAGTGCTCCCACTCATGCACCATTGCTGCTGCTATAAGTAGCCATTTGCATACCTTTAGTGGGAGGACATTCTGGGAAGGAAGAAAAGAGTATACAAATAAGAGCTTGTTACCTAATCTCAGTACTGCTGACCTTTCATCAAAACTGAAGCATTTTTCACATCCTCTGGTTCAAGGGCAGAATAGTTTGAGTACAGTTGACATGTGTAGTCTCCAACACTAGCATTATGGAGGAGTAAGTAGAATACATTTCCTTCTCTGAATGTGACACAATCCTTAATATTCCTGTCTCCACTGCTGGTGGTCCAATTCACCCACACATTCAAGTCATTTTCTGTATTGCTCACATTGCACTCAAGAATTGCAGACTGGCCCACTTCAGATAATGTGAAGTTTTTAACACCCAAAATCGTTGGTGGGTCTGCAAACAAGTTATGAGTTGTAAAAGTGATCATGGCAAACTTCTTTTGGCATGTTATTATTTGCTCACCATAAACAACTAGATTGGCAAAGACGTTGTCACTCTGCAGTGGTGTAGAATACTCATCCAATGTCACAGTCACTGTACACTCATACTCTCCAGAATCATTCCCACTGGCTCCAGATATAATGTGGACTACACCGTTCTTCCCAGGAAGGAGAAGTCTGTCAATATCTTTGTCTCTTGGATGCCTCATTAGGTAGTTTCCTACAGTGTTGGCTGGTGGGTAGCTCTCAGCCATACATGTAATATTGACACTGCTCCCTAATCTAGCCACAGGGACTGAGGTGTAGAGTTTTGGTATTGGTTTTACTGCAGAGTCAATGAGAAAAGAAGAATTGGTTGCTTCGTGTCAGCAAAGATGTTTGTATGTGTTTTGTGTGTGTGCTGCCACATAACAAACATTAACCGTTGCCAGAGGTCAAACATTCATCAATGACTGGTGAGTGAAGCGAGGTTAACTAATTGCACAATGTTTCCATCGACTGTCATACCCGACACTGCTAGTAATGTTGTGATTGTAAGGCAGTTTCGTAGCTGCAGTTCTTTGGGACACTGTGAAACACTCTATAGCATGTGTGGCTTGCATGATTGCATTATAACTAGCCTAAAAATGCAGTGCATTCACTGAGTAATACATAGTGCAGACAGCTTATATGTACACAAGCGGTACTGTAGGTATCAAGTTAGTTTTACACATTCCAGTCAATGTATGATGTAGCTAGCTACTACACACTCTAGCTACACTACATGTAGGTGTTTTGATACCACACACAGTTCAGGTGATACCACACATGCACTTCAGGAGTAGTGATGCATGAAATACGAGAACATCTGGACAAACATACCTCCGATCTTGAACATCTCACATATTTCTGCACAGTGGCACTCATACATTTGACCTCCAACCTCAGCCACTGAGGTGATATCTTCAGATATGACCAGGACCCCCTTTGTCACTCCATCAACTTCAATTCTCTCACCACCAGTGACATTAACCCACTCATAGGTCTGGGAAAGGCACGTAATGCTACACTCCAATTCCAGCTTCTGGCCTACAATGGCCATGGGTGGTGAGCTCCCATAAGAACATGTAGAGCACAGCCCTGCATTTTTGTAAAACACGAATGAGTTGGACTGCACTGGCATAATAATACTACAACAGGGCAGGATGCTTTTTGGAACGAGTTATCCATTAGCTATAGCTAAAGCAGAATGAACGCAACATAATCTGCGGTGCTAGCCTACGAAATTCATGACTTACTCACTTAATACTGAAAAAGTCACGATCACCGCCGATAGCCAAATGGCGTCCCATTGGAGAGATGCCCGAAGAAGTGTCGCCGCGAGCAAATGACTCCCGTGCAGAGAGATAAATCAGTAGCGACCACTGCTTGGACCCAAGAGAGAATCTGGGGATTATGCGCAGTAGGAAAGAAGGGCACTGCAGTTATCAGCATTCAGTTCCGCCTACGTACGCTCTGTACGAATTCCGCCGCGCAGCGCAGCGGGCCCACGTATATTATTTGTAAAGCCGCGAAGCACTATGATAGTAAGGACGTCAGGATTCTGTTATGGACAACCCACAAAAGCTGATTGGGAAAAACAATCCCATCTCCTCAGAGCCAAACACCATCCACCAGGACATTCTCTCTGCATGTCCTTGGCCTCTTAGAATTGCAGAGGAATAGGTCAAAGTGAGCCATACTTCAATACATTGTCAAGATCAGGGAATGTCATCTTACTTCAAGCTGTCGAACTTGAACTGTTCAAGCTGTCGTGCTATATGCCTAAGAGTTCACTAGCACGGGAAAATGTGATGCCAGGCTGACAGAGTGTTCCACTCGCTGAAGGGGATGCGAAGGGGTGGTCATTCTGTGGAAAAGTCATTTAACGCTGCGTCTCAAGACAGTCTTCTACGAGCTGCATGCCAGCCTCCTGTTACTTTAACCGTAATCAGTGTCTACTGCCGTTCTGCCAACTAGCTACATTGAAGAAGAATACGTGCAATGCCTGGAAGAACTAGTCAGTGTTGCCGACCCTGATTCTTGGTGTTGAGCCCCAATTTATAGTCGTCCAACTGCGCATGCGTTTGGATTACGCACAGCTCGAGCTCGGCGCGCGATGGAGAACTTCTGCGCTCTTCGATGCCCCACCGAGGCTGTATACCTCTTTCCAATCTCCGTGGTTCTAAGGTGCAAGTTGTAAATAGGCCAGCATGACTCGTGCAGATTCAGTCATTCTGTGCTCACTCCCGCTCGCCAAAAATGCCATGCATTCGCCTACAGAGTCCAAGTCCTCCAGATGTTCATTCAGGCATGCGCTGTAGGTTCGTAGTCTGGTTTTTCCTACAGATACCGAGCGTTTAGGGTATCCTGTACAGCTCGTGTTGTGTGTACTGTAATAATTATTTATATATACACTAAGGATCTCCTCATCGTCTTACTATATACTACAGCCCCCATCCATCGCATGCACACCAACATGCACACTCATGGAAACAAAACAGGACAGAGGATCACAAGAGTAACAAAATGTCAGTTGTGTAAGACACCTTGCATAATGTATAATTATAATGTTTTGTATAGTGAAAGTAAAAACACACACATACAAGTATTTTGTTATAATTAAGTCTCCATGGAGTAGCCGCTAATGGCCAGTGTCGTCCTCATGGCAATATTATAGCATCTGCCAATCATCAGTATTGTCCTCAGTCTCCTCTCTGTCTCCATCTTTCATAGCCTCACCAGTTGCCCCGTGGCAAATGGCTTGTGGCTGTGTTGGACTCACCCACTTCTTTTCTCCAGTCTCTTCTTGATGTACCAGGAGGCAGCTGACAGAGCAATGAATGGTATCAGTCCAGTCACTATCCCTGCCACTCCTTTCAGGATCAGAGAGAACACAATGATCATAATATTATATTACAACCATTAGTGCTACTGCTCCAAACACACTTATGAGCATACGCACACCTCCAGTAAACTTAACCACTTTTTGAATATATTATAATAGACATGCTAGCATTACTGCCATGACGCAGCATTAAAAATGAAACTGGCACAATCAGAAACACTGTTGATGATGTATATAACTAACAAAGCAACTGTAACTACTAGAGCTCTTGATTGCTCAATAAAACAACATGAAAACAAAAGAAAGTGCATCCATAATGTTGCGATGGACAAACATCATAAAGCTAAACATGATCAGAATTCTCAGCAATTTCTACTTTACATCGTTTTGATTTTTTATCAGTTACAGCAACAGGCACAACACCAAATGAATGAGATATTGAACAAAATTTTGCCCATTCCTCTTGGAAAAGGAATCTGAATGGTTCTCAATGAGGCAATAAGAGCACCAACAAACAGTATAATATTTACAATCACTTCTACCAAACTCGGAACTATATATAATTGTAGAAGAATGGTGTTAAAGGTCTACTATACCTACTAAGTAAAGGGCCTGAAAAAAGATTGCCGTTGCTCTTGCTCCAGCAAACAACAGACCATAAACAAATATATTGGAGACCACAGCAGTTCCCCAGTGAGGCTTTGATGTTCCAGTCTGGTTGCTCTGGAGACTATCTGGTTATGCTATCACCAGTGCCTGAGAGACAGAGATACAAACACATACTCTGCCCAACTCAGTCTCGTAAATGTATCAAATTTCACAGAAGAACCCATGAATAGAATTGCCCCCTTCCAATTATCGTCATCATCAATCTCCTCATTATTAACAGATCCCTTCTGACTCTGATCCCAAGTGTGTGGTTTTCCTCCAAACTTTGATCTGTGGGGGAGAATGTTGATGGCTCACAACAGGTATACTGCAAACAAGCAACTTATACTTACCCAGTTCAGATAAGGCACATTGTAATTGGTGGATTGCAGTCTAGAGTGTCCATTACCAGTGTCATTGAAACCCAAAAATAGTCGTCATCGTCATCATAGGGATCAAAATCTGGGTAGGGTATAACATCGGAAAATATAGAACAAGGTGTGTTTCCATGAAGCAAGGACAGCCATAAGATTGCAGCATCAGTGTTTATTCTTTTTGCTTCTGCCTCTCTTATACTGAGAGTCTGTGAACTGAATGTCAACTGTAGAATATTGCTGTAACCTGAAGATACAGTAAAACGTCTGAAAAAGGGCCAGGTAATAAAGATAAAGAAAGGATCATGAAGAAAGGAAGGAGAAGAAGAGAAGGAGGGACAGTCACAGCCCAAGAAGAAAATAATAACAAACTTGAAACCTAACTACTAATCTTTATGTGTTAACCTTCGGCGCGCATGCGCAGCGAGGGTTACGGTGTCTGTCTGTCCATACCTACCTAGTACCTGCCAACCTTTGGCCGTGCAAGATAGGGACAAAGTTCAAATACATCCAAACGACCGGGCGCCGTGGATCGTCTCCATGCGCAACTGTGTTTCGCCGTCTTCCTCCTTCCGCCATTCGGCAGACACGAGCCAGCCATACTTTACTGCGTACACGCGCTCGGTGTGGCCCGCACTTAGCCCCGCCTTCCCGTACACGCGCTCGCTTTGAGCCCCGCCTCCCAGAGTGATCGAGTTACCTGCAGAAAGCTACACTTTATGTGTTAGTGTGGAGGAAGGATGGCTGGTGCAGACAGACCAAGTACTATAACCCTCGCTGCGCATGCGCGCCGAGGGTCAATAAACTTCTTAGCTCACAACTTCCTTCCTAAACGTCCTCTTACACCCAACTTATGCATGAAAGTAAAAAGCACACGTAACATACAAAACCAATAAGATATTTTTGTCCATTAAAGTGTACCCTGATAATTTCAGAGGTATATATAAACGAGTAAATGTGGTGGCAGTCAGTTTCACTTCCTGGTATCCATTGGTTCTGCAGTTCAGCAAGTTGAACCTGTGACTGTGTCGAGTCAGTGTTCGCTTTATGTGACCAGTTAGCCTGTACCCTGCCCAACTAAGCACCATGACATGTGGCAGTAGAGAGAAAATCATAAAGGTCATTGCCAGTGTCTTTGTAGGAGAACCTGGCTGATTTATCCAGAGGTATTTCACAATGTAACCTCCACAAAAAAGAGACCAAGTGAGAAATTTGCACTGACAGACGTGCATGGCTGAGTGTATGAGAAAATAATCGCGCAGTAATAACTGGAATAATTTGACCGTAGCCAGCAAAAGAATCAAGGACCTTCCTGATAGAGGATGTTGCCACCCTCAATACAGGGAAAAGTCCAGCCAGAGCTCTGTAGTCTCGAGTGGCATTCAAGCCGTCTTTGAAACAAAAGTTGAGAGCTTCAGCAAATGCTGTGACAGCCAGTTTTTTTCTGGGGCCCAGACACCTTGAGAGACACCTGCTGTATATCCTTGTGGGATTATGATGAGCATAACTGAAGGTACAACTGTTAGCAGGAGAAGAGGAAATGAGGCCAGTGCAGTGTAAAGGATATGCTGATGACTAAGCCACTCAATATTTGGATCATACGCCAGTGCATGTTTGTAATCATTTCCATCGTACCTTGTATGTCTAACCCTCGGCGCGCATGCGCAGCGAGGGTTACTGTAGTTGGGTGTTGTCTGTGTGTGTGTCTGTTACTCTACATCTCACTTCTCGAACGTCTGTTCGTCCCAGAAACGATACCATCTACCCGACGGGCGACGAAGGTCAGAAAATAAAGGCGGTTTTCTCCGAAAATGCTCCGTTGCAAAGCTAGAGCGCGAAAAAGCCAATATGCAAATACGCTACGGCTTACCGCGGTCTGATCGATCCGCGTGCTCTGCGTACCTCGGAGGCACCAGAGGATGCAACGAAGGGCGTGTATCGCCTCTCGTATGCTATCTAGTAGTGTTGTTAGCCCGCGTCAGACTCTGCACGAGTAACAGCTAAAACTAAACCCAGCCCATCAATTAGTGATACGGCGCATGCGTTTACTTCTGTGATGTTGGTCTTGTTGAGGATGATGCTGAATGGCTTCCAGAGAATGTGAATGATTCTGCAGTTCCGTCCATGTAGCTCAATGAGAATACAGGTGGTGATTACAAGAACAATAGGGCAAGTAGCTGGCACAAAATCTAGCAAAATACGGCGGATAGCCGTTAAATTTTCACTGATACAAAATGGTGGAATTACAGATTGAAAGTATTGCAAGTTCCAAATCCGAGTGAGCGACAGTGAAGTTTGAAAAATAACTTTAATAGTTGGTACCTCTATTTGCATGTGGTCATGTATATACATATTTTCCCTTAGCCATATTACATAATACTGACAGAATATCAAGTATCCCAGAAAAGGACCTGATGTGGTGTTAAATCGAAATGCAACAAGCCAGATGAAAAATATTGTTATTGGGAAAAGTTCAATTAGCAAATAAAGAATTGTTGCATATCCTGCAGACCGCTTTGAACACGCAATACATTTCAAGTCAAATGAATTAACTGCAGGACCATATCCATGAATACATTCTCCACACAGCAAACCTTTTCTGTTGTAAGGTCCACACATTACATCATCCAACATGTCAGGATCACTGGGCATCTCAGAATGCATTCTGTTAGTCCTATTGACTGGATGTCCTAATGGACAAACACCGATATAGTACTGGTCTCCCTGTCCATAAGAGGTTGCACACGTTCCTTCTTCAATAGTGACCTTATGGTCATTGATACAACCCAGCCCATGTCCACACTCACACTGACGTGTGGAGTTGTTGTAGTAGAACCAGATGGGAGAGCTTGTGTTACTAGCAGAGGCTGAGCTCAAACACACAATGATCACAGCAATAGAGCAACGATAGGTAGTCTTTTGACAGTCCATGGCACTGATGCCCATCACTTTAGCAAAAAATGAGATTTTATGACATCCGTAGGCACCAACACAGTCTTTTGTACTTGTTAATTCCTCAAAGCACACTGTTGCAGTTGTTATAGAATGCATGCGTAGGAGTAACATCCTGTCGCCCCCATCCCTGTGTGTATATACTCGTGAAATAATAATATCATACGTAATGGTAGTTTTTGTGGTAATTACAACCCTGAGCCCAAGAAGTTTGTGCCAAAACCATCGTTTAGTTATGGCAACAGATGTCCCCGCCACATGCTAGTGTTTTCATATTTACTTTAGTCAACAGATGTTGCAACCAAAAAGGTAGGATTTGAATGCTTTCGGTCAATGAAATTCCAGTTATTAGTGCGATTTAAAAGGAGTAGCTATACAGAATTAATGCGAAGAAGACTGATTGGAAAGTTTGCAATAGATTACATTCGCGGGATTTTAAATTTACTTGTCTCAACTCATTTTGAGTGCCTATTATAATGTACTTCCTTGGGCTATTATTTTTTTGTTGTTTACAGTGAACAATGTTGTTCACAAACGAAGAAGTGTAACCAGTCTCGTCTGGTTACAGATATCTCCATTTTTACATGTTTTTAAATTTGTTTTTGAGGTAAAGGTGTTGAATCTGAATAAGGAGAAGAATGCCTATCATAGCCCCATATATCTATAATGCTAGGTATATACATTGCCCACTAAGTATTATACTACCAAACTTAGTGATTCATTATCACTCACCTCCCTCATTCACTTTCAACCATCCATGGGGGCACTTATCATCGCAAGCACAAATTAAGAATCCATTGCAGGGAGAAAATAAATGAAAAGCACTAAAGTGCAAACCCTCAGCGGTAAACTAGCGAGTTGTAGCATCGCTGTATGCTTGGCCGTGCGACATCGACGGAGCCAGTAACACGAGTTTCACCGTAACACAGGGTAGTTGCATTAGCGGTTAGAGCAATAGCTCAGGTGTTCCAGAGGCTCTCATCTTTGCTTTATTCAATCTATCTGCTCTTCTGTGTTTCAATGCTCTCGCCAGACGTTTTATAATATTATATAGATGGGAAGGCAAGGCCGCAACCACAAACTGCTCGCCACCTGAACTATTGCTTGCTCAGCATGTTTATCGTTTATCCATAGGGAACAGAGATCAAAACTTACAGGAGGCCATATACAACCAAGCGCATGCTCCGGCGATTAGTTGACATTACGCGTGCGCGCTATATAGCAATTATAGCCTGCAGGAGAGGGCGCGTGCGCGATCCACCGCGCGTTGGCTTTTTCGCTTGTTTTTCTCTGGAACGCAGTCGTTTCGGGAAAATCGCCACATTAATTGGCGAGCGGGAGCGAGCTAACCTAGTGGTGGTACGAACGGCGCGGATTATATCTACGACCGTACGTCGTCCAACTGCGCATGCTCCAGGATTACGCGCTTCTTTTTATCCGAAAGGATTTCAAACTTTCACGTGCTGCCAGGCCTGTGATGATGTCGTGCGTATACTTGTGCATAATTATAGTCCGGGGAAGATGCCCTTCGTGGTCGAAGAGAGTGGGAAAGAGAACATCGTGCCCGTTAGACTCCTGAGCAGAGAGGCTCGTTTGTATCAGCGTCGCTTTCGTGATAGGGAACGCGCAAATTTTTACACGCTACCTAGCTGTGATATAGATGGCAAATATAGCCAGCCAAACAACTCTCGTCTATTTGCTGCCATTCGCTGCGCTCTTCGATACCTGACCGAGGCTGTCTATACCTCCTTCCAATCTTCGTGATTCTAAGGTTCAAGTTGTAGGATGGCTCGTGCAGATGAGTCATTGTGTACTCGCTCCCGCTCGCCAAAAATGCCATGCATTCGCCTACTAGTATCAATCTTGTCGTCGTTCACAACCCGTTGGTGCCTCTCATTGGCCGCCTCGCAGCCTGTAGTGCTAGAACTCGCGCGGACGGACAGACAGACTGAACGACTACTGTAACCCTCGCTGCGTTCTGTTTACTTGTTACTGTGTGTAGGATTATTGCGCTCTAGCTTTGCAACGGAGCATTTTCAGAGAAAAACGTTCGATTCTTATTACCCGTTTATTACGTCGTATCGTTTGTGGGACGAATAAACCATCGAGTAGTGAGTTGAGACAGAGAGACAGACAAACCCAACTACTGTAACCCTCGCTTCGCATGCGCGCCGAGGATTAATTACAGTCAACATTCACTCCATGGAACGTGAATGTAGAGTCACATATCTCCAGAAATGACATAGACAGCAGTGTCTTCTCCTCTGTGTCATCATCAGTATGAGGGAGAGGGATGGCGGGGAGGGGCTGGCTGGGGGGAGGGGCAAAGGACAAGGGAACTTCATACATCTCCTCCAGTTTAGCTGGAGGAGGAGGAGGAGGAGGAGGAGGAGGTTCTCCATGAGAAATGTCCACCAGCTCATATCCCTCTTCTCTCCGTCTTCCTCCCACCTTCCCATATGCCTCGTCGGTTGAGGTGGGAACGTCACCACTTTCAGAGACTGCTGACCCATGCCTGCAAAGGTATAATATTACATATAGGGTGATTTGTTCATGCTTTATAAGTGTTTCGGACAATACTGATAGTGTATGTCAGTAAATGTGTCCATTCCCACACAATCATACTTTGTGTCAGAATATTTCTTCAATGAAACATCTCCACGACCTTTCCTTAAGACGAGAAAAGTAATGGTTATGACAGCAATAGTAATACCAGCAATCAGAGCTATAACAACAGCCGCAACTCCTCCTATTATAGTATCAGAAATTTGTGGAGGCTCTTCATCACTGCTTCTCTCAACAGCAAGCATGTCAGTGGAAGTGGCAGTAGGAGTGAGAGATCCTAATGCAATGGAGGTAATATTATTTCATGCCACTCTGCTAATGGTTTAGCTATACAAAGTGGGAAAATGAAAAATAAGGGAAAAGTCATTTGAAGTAAATTCTGACGTGTATAGCTAACTGTAAATGTTCAGTGTGTGAAAGACATTCGTTTAGAAAGCTCATAAACCACATCTTCCCCTCCCCGCAATGTGTGTTCAGTGTGTGTACAGCTATCTACATACCAGACTCATTGGTAGTGATGTAGAGGGAGGCAGGGAGAGAAGATCCCATGTCAGATATGGTGGAGATGCTGCAGTTGCAGAGAAGAGTCCAGACAGTGTGGCTGAGGTGAGGGTTGGTGCCAACAGGGGAAGAGGCTGGGGGAATGGGATCCCAGTCAGGAGAGGGACACATATCAGGTTGTAGCCAGTGGTGAGGTGGGCCCCAGTGCTGGGCTGGCTCCAGGGGAATGTGAGAGAGGTCTCCGATACTGAAATCACCTCTAAGTTTTCCACTGGATAGGCAGCTGTAAGCAAAGGTACGCATCCCACATTTAGATAGTGTCCTACAGAAGAGGGGGAGGGTGAAGCTGGTGATGACTCAATTACGCTGGGTGACAGGTGGAGGAGAACACCACTTCTCTCTCTCCTGGCATTGAGCTGAGGGATTTTAATATCATGTAATTCGAAAGTTTTTGTACATGAGGTTAACCATACACAGACAATGCAAAGTAATAATGTGAAGCAAACTTTTTGTGTGCATGGTATATACTTAAGTACGTGACTACTGAATGGGTGAAACAACAAGTGTTTAGCTACAAGTACACAAGAAAAAGAATCCTCAAAATGGGCTCACCTACCACAATCCTCCCTTTCCCACTTTGTGTATTTGTTGACAGTTATAGAATACTGAGTTCCCTCCTCACTGAAGACTGTCGCAGTTATGGTGTACCTATTCCGCCTTATTTAGTCCTCCCCAAACTTACAACTGGTCCTGACAGATACACCACAGCTGTATGGACCGAACCAGCACCATTCATTGCTGCCACTTGAACAGTGTACATTGATGGAGACAATCCAGAGATTTTAGCCTGTCCAGCACCACCACCAACCTTAGCAGTTTCTTCTATCATTCCATTTCTCACAGCCTGTGCTCTGTAGCTAGTTACGTCTCCATTACGGTCAAGACAAGACACTGCCTGCCAACGGACAGTTATACTGCTGGAAGTGACTATACCACTTCTGACTAAGGTGGGATGTCCTGGATCTGTGTACAAGAACAACAAAGGGACATATTGACTGAGCCTCTTATATACTCATCTGCATAGTTGTTGCAGTTACAGCATTACTGACTAGAGCACTGCCAGCTGCATTGAAGACTGTCGCAGTTATGGTGTACCTATTCCCTTGCTCTATAGTCCAGTTATTCCGTATGAACCACCAAAACGTTGATTCACAGTAAAACTTTGCTGATTTATATTGGAACAACCAACTGCAGTTGCAGTGACTGTTGGAGATACTATAGAAGATAGAACTGTGAAAATGAGTTATGGTAAATTCAAACATGGCAATCCTAAGGTGTTGCAAGCTGATACCTAATGTGATGCTAGCTGATACAGTTGATGGCTTGTCATTTGACACAGTATATGTGTATGTTCCTGAAACAATCACCGTCAGAGTGTGTGTGTACTGTGCAGTCAAGATAATTCAGTAAAGCTAACACCAAAGTTTGTACACATAATTATGCAACCTGTCATTAGTATCAAAATGTAAGTTTGCAACAACAACATACAGCCTCATATATATGCAATAAAAAGAAGTAAATTGTGTTTGTGCCTATGATTCGAGATATTAATTGTTCTTCTCTGTGGTCTGGAGACTGACTGTCAGACATTTCCTCGCCTTTCCTTTGCGGATAATATTGCTATCCTCAACCATGGCTATGTAGACCTGGGGATTGTTGGAACAAGTTTTATCAACGGTATTCAATGTCGTACTGATTTGAGTACATGTTGAAGAAGTAAATATGGTATTCATCTTGGACAGGCTATTTCCCTTATGGTGATATTCTGCAGAACAGTAAGTGACGATGGTGATATTTATAAATATGAGGCAAATATGAGGCATCACCTTCATTGTGCAAATAGTGTCACTTCTCCAACTGGTATATATCGTTGTGAGATTCCAACCAATGCTGTCCATGATGATACAGACACCTCAGTGAGAGCCATAGTCTGTATGGGATTCTATACTAGCTAAGGTAAATATCAGTGTTAGCTACGTATATAAGTGCATCAGGGAATGTTAAATTGCGACCAGTTTAGTGTTCATTAAAAGAATTCTTCATTAGTTAGCACTCTTTTTTGACAGTTCGGATCAGACTGATATGTCAGAAGTTGGATCTGATTGAAACTGAAAGTGAAACATGAAAATAATAAATGCATGGGCATAACCTGTGTCATCCCTTTACACTATGTTGTACAGTACTTGGTATATTATATAACTTACTTGTGGTGGGCACTCTAACAATGAAACCTGGTACACTGATGTACCATGATAATAGATCAAAACATTTATTACAAGGTTGTAATTAATAACAATAAACAGCCTCCGGCAATAAAAACTTGTGAATGGTGTTTGTGGCTATAACACGGTTTTGGTTGCTCTTCTAACAGTGAAACTTGGTACACTAATGGTCTATGATAATAGTTCATCAAAACAGAATTGTAAATAGCAGGAAAAGCCTCAGTGACCTCCTCCATGTGGTACATGTATACGTTACTGTATCCTAACTTGTGTAGTGCCTATAACTTGCTTATGGTGGGTCCACTCACAATAAAACCTGGTACATGTGAATGACGACAAACCGTCTGAGGCGATAGCTTAAGCCACTAATGTTACTTTTTATGGGGATTATGCCGCACTTTTAATTGCATGTGAATGCAGTAAAAAAAAGGAGGCAACAAAACAATTCAAAATATGGGGATGGTAGAAAAAGCAAAGAGACAAGACTAGTGAACGTGATGCGGTAGTACAATGGAAGATGGCTACATCCTTTGAACTGAGATCGCTCGCTCATGTAAAGATAGGTATCCGGCAGTAGCTACAACTTGACTGAATTGGCTACGTCGGACGTCGCGCGTAGCGCGGGGAGATTGTTTGCTTGTCCTTTCAGTGACCTCCTCCATGTGGTATATGTATGTGTTACTGTATCCTAGCATCCTTGTGCTGCTAGCTAGGTTCATGGCTTACTGAACTATCTTTTTTGGACATGTTTTTTGTGATCTGTGGATTATATATAACTGCAGCAATGTCCAATAGTAAAAGTGAGAACCACCGAAAGAGGACAACCTCCCTAGAGGGGACAAAAGGGCCATCCCCATTCTGTCCCTTCTTCGGAGGTTTCACTGTATATACTCCTAACAAAAAACAACAAGCAAAACGAAAGTATTGATTATCCACCCACATGAAAGAGGATGAGAATGGAATGAATTACCATAGACATTGTCACAAATATCTCCATGATAGCTAACACAAAACAGCTACAAAAAATATGAAATGCCACTATTGTAGTTCTAGTGTTTAGCTTCTCGTTTTTAGTAACTAGCTACATCTCGAAAGTTCACAGCATACACGACAATCACAACCTTTGATGAACTGATTTCGTATGCGTCAACGTTCCACGCGCGTGGGATCGCGCCTGCAATTTTGGGGAGCCGCGCGCCTATGGCACGCCGCAGCTTGGTGGCTGTGGCTGTCATGGAGTTTCAGATCCCTCTGTCAAGCGAACGACCTCCTCCAGCCGTCGGAGAGGCTCCCAGTCCTTCGTATCAGAGCCTCACCCAGCCAGAGAGATACTTTGCCCGCCTTTCCTTCTCTCCCTAGCCCCTCTTATTGTTCTTCCCTTTCTCTACTTGGTTTCTGACATGTAGTGGTGTAGTTGATATGCACACGCCCGATACCCATGGTTTTCTCTTTTGAATGCAGGTCACTGCTAGATGTAAGTGTAACTGCCTCAATACCCGAGTGTCTTCAGTCTTTTACACACAACATATTGCATACACACACCTTGTGGCTAATATGCAAATACATTATTCTGAATTGTGTAGCTCACTTAATTCAAACCTGCTTACTTACTAAGCCAAGTACATTCTAACCCACAATTGCTTCATTGCAGGTACTTAGTAGTACATGAAACAAGTTATCCAGAATCATGCCCATATAATTGAGATTTAAATGGTTAGATTGTACTTGGCTCACTTTTAGTGATGTGTGTCTGTAGGAATTTCCTGAGTGTGGGAGTGTTAGTGAGAGAGGGGTTCTGGAGAATTGGGGTCAGAGAGCTGGAGGGGTGTGTCACCAAGTGCGTGGGGCGAATTTTACAGGAATAACTGAGATAACGAATTGGAAATGAGGAATAAAGATCTCTTCCTTCTCTCTTCCCCGCCTTCTCATCGCCTCCCTCCCTTCCTCCCGCTTTGCAAATGAAACTTTCCTCCCTCAGATTTCTACTGATGCAACTGTGTTTATTCTGATATTTATCGTTCACCATTTTCTCACTGTATCTGGAGTAGCTACAGTTGGCTGAAGAAGTTGACACTGATACCACACCAAACCAGATTCCATAACAAGTTTGTTAGGGTGAGGGTGTATATAGAGTGATAGCGAAATAGAAGTGATGGATAGATACAGCGAGATACATTAGGGATAGTTTGGTTGTCATTATTAGTTTACTCCAAAATGCAAAACAGTTAGTTAAACCCTTATTGGGGGAAGGGGGTTGGAGGGTCGAAGGGACAGTGAAGATAATGAGAGATATAAATTCTTATGGACCTATGGAACCTCTGGAACCTCTGGACACATTAATTATGTGTCCGTGGCTGGTAGAGTGTAAGGACACAGTTGGCACTAAGCAAACAGGCACACAGACACATCAGGCATGGCACGAGTATATATGAACAAAGTAAACTAGTGCGAGTACAATGAGCAAAATTTTCATTGTAACTGGCAAAATGTGACAAAATGCAAGTCAACAAGTCAAAGATCAGCAAAGTTTTCAATAATGCACGTGTGCAGACCTCTCCAGCTATAATTGCTGAGCGCGTTAGCGTGAGGCAACTACTCCGGGTTGTATTCTCGCGATATGCGTACGTACGTACGTACGTCGTCAATTAGTCACGCTTGGGAATGTCAATTAGTCACAAAACGGACGTGTAACTTCCGTACATTCGTAGGAAGTCTAGCTTCCGCCATGCTGGCTTCGCGCGCAGTCAGTATAGCGCGTGCACGAGCGGCCTCAGTCGGACTGTTACGCATTGGCTGGCAGGCGCGAGGCAAAATATGCGCGTGCGCATTCCTAGTTATAATATTTAGGACACTGATGGAGGGTAATGGCAGCGGGCAATATGTGAAATAACTCCACAATTAAGGTTGCCAAGCAGCGAGTTCCACAAGAATGGGACTCTGGCCCAGTTATAGCATTCTTCTTTTCTTCTTCTCTCCTCTCTAAACGAAGTGTGCAGTGGGGATTTTCCAGCATAAGGTTTCCTTTCTACGGTTCTGCTTTTTTGCAGGTAGCTATGTGACAAAAACAATAGTTGGAGTGTGGAATAGTAAGACTATCTTGCTATATCTATAGAGGATATAACAGCAGGAGCTACTTTATACATGATTTTATGCTTAGCACTATGTAAAGCAGTACTAGTATTTAGTATAAAGTGATGATACGAGCGACCGATGTCAGTTCAAAGTATGTAGCCATCATCCATTGTACTACTGCATCACATTCGGTGGGTCATTAATTTTTAAATAATGATTCGGCACAAGACCAAGGATACACCAATAGCAGCATACTGCTAATAACAAAGGAAGTGTGTAATATAGAATATGAAGTGGCAGTCACAGATTCAGCAGGTAAACAGTTCCATAACGAAATAGATTGGAATGAAAGAATGTTGTTGAGAATTTGTGCGTGCATAAGGTACATTAAGCAATACAGAATGATTAGTGCGAGATGTACAAGGGTGAGGCAGCAAATGTGAAGGGAAGTATATTAGCCCATTGATGATGCAGTAAAATCTACAAAGTGACAAGTAGTGTCTGTGGTTCTCCATTGACAAATGTCGAGGAGCTCCAGATTATAGTTCCGTGTTGACATTCGCGAAGCAAATTTCTGAACACTCTGAAGATATATACTTCTTATCTTTGGCTGTGTGTGGTGACTATACCTCGGCAGCATATTCCAAGTGAGGACAGACAAAGGTTTTGTATAGCATCAGCATGGTATTACTTGTCACATACTTTGAAAAATTGCTGTAGAGCGTGCCAAACTTTCCTTGCCTTCACACTAGCCTGTTGGATATGAAGAGACCAACTGAGATCACTTGTGACAGTAACACCTAAGTACATATAGCTGTTTACCAGCTCAAGTGACTGACCACCAAGAGTCAAGGTTGGATACGGCTCTTTTGCTCTTCTCCTCTTAGATATTATATTTGCACTTTGTCTCATTAAACTTCATTGCATTCTCGACTGACCACAACTGAATCTTGTCAATGTGATTCTGCAAGTCCAATACGTCATCATTTGTCACGATATCCTTATACAAAAGTATATCATCTGCATAGAGACATAGCCTCGTTCCCTCTGATAGATGGATATGAGTAATATCATTGAGAAGAGTAGTGGTCCAAGAACAGAGCCTTGTGGAACGCCTGAGATTACATAAACAGATTCCTTTCCATTAACAACTACGAACTGTTCACGTCGGTATAAGTAGCTATGTAACCATGTCATGATGATTGGATGTAATTGAAGTTGTTTCAGTTTAGCCAAAAGCAGGTGGTGAGGCACCTTATCAAATGCTTTTTGAAGGTCAAAAAACACAAAGCAGACATCCTTTTTATTATCCTGTGAATTTAACCAGTCCTGAGTAGCTGCAAGTAAGGCAGCTGTTGTGGATTTCCCACATCGAAATCCCCACCGATGGCTGGAAAGTGGAGAATATTCATTCAAATGATCTGATATTACACAATGTATGTGTTTCTCTAGTAGTTTTCCGACAATAGGCAATAGTGATATAGCTAGGTCTGTAGCCAGATGGTGAATGCCTATCTGAAGATTTTGGAATAGGTAGCTACAACCCTAGCCATTATCCACATTGTTGGAAATGTTCCTAGGAAATTTTAGAGATTGAAGAGTTGAGTCAGTGAGGGTGCTAAGCTCCTAGCAGTTACTTTAAGCATATGACCCGATATATTATCAGAACCGGTGGCTTTGTCTGTACATGTATTAAGATTCTTTAGCATAATTATGATAGACTTCCTGGACTGGACTGTGCATATAAAATCCTCCATAGTAACGGATTCATTTTGGAACTGTGCAGGATATTGATAATTCGAAGTTTCAGTGAGTGATGGTCCAGTGTTATTCCAACATTTCGAGAAAAATGTGTTAAGCATGTGGACCTTTTGATGGTCATCTACTGCACTAATATTGCCTTCTTTCAGTGTTGGTATCATTTCCGGTTGCTTTACTTCTAATTGTTTTCCAAAGTCTTGTTGCTGGAAGATGCTAATGCCTTAAAGCGCTTAGCTCTCTCTTGGCGCAACATTCGCACAACATCATTTCTTAGTTTCTTGTACTTACTCCAGTGTTCCTGCTTCTTTGTTTTCTTTGCTTTATAATTTCATACACCTTACAATGTTTCTTGTCATCCCTGTCTTGAGTCTTTGCTTTTTCTATTTTAATTCCAAAACGTTTCTAATTGTGCGTTTGAACCGTGATGGATAATAGCAAATATCTAAGCACGGCAACATAATGTTGTATGCATGTCACAAGTATTTTTCTTGTTTATGATGTATCCCTTGCTCTCTTCATTCCATACAGTCCCACAACACGAGGAACGGAATTCTGGGGAGACGGTGTTGAGCGCTCTCTCTTCCCCCTCGCTGGACCAACATTTAAAGGAAACTCATGACAATCTCCTGGACAGACTGGAGCAGCATCTTCACAATGTCAACACCTTTGTTCGCAGTCACTTCAACCGGCCAATGCTAGTGTACAATAAAGGTTTCGTGGTGAAAATACTTTGAAAAGGGCTGAAAAGCAACTCATCGTGACAAAGTCATTGGGTGCAGAAACAAAATTTTATATATTAATTTGTGAAAGTATTATTCTACAACATACTTTTCGAGTGCCAACACAAGCATTAGTGGTCAGCAATAGTGGCAAGCAATGAATCTAGATGCTCTACACACATGTTTAGTAATAAGCCCCCGTGCAAAAGCTCTCATGCAACCTGTGCATTACATATATTTCATGAGAGATTTGTCTGTGTGTAGCTATGTGTCTCCATGCAGGCCATTTCGTTGCCTCATCTGAAGGCCATTCTGCCAGTGGTGTTTGGCAGGACTGAGGATAAGAGTAAGTGACCAAGGCTAGTTTATCTCTGTGTGTCCTTTGTAATTCAGTTGGTAACTGAACTTCAAAACTGTTAATATATGTGTTAAAATTATTATGAATCTAATCCTGTATGCACGTAAAAATGCATAAACACACTTTTTGCACTCACACACTCTGTCATGGGTAACACATCTAATTGGCGAGCGGGAGCAAGCTAACCTAGTGGTCCAACGGCACGATTTTAAACTTTACGTCGTGCTACTGCACATGCGTTAGGATTATGCACTTCTTTTTATCCGAAATGATTTCGCACACAGCCTGTCATGTCGATGCGAATCTAACCTACATAGCTTGCTACCTATATATCACACACCATAAGAGAGAGCAAATGGAGAAGTTGTTCCAGAGAATACATACAATGCACAACTGCTGTCTACTATACCCAAGCAACAAGAACATAACAAAAACAGAGGTAAACCTCCAATGTTAAACAAAATGCCACAATTAAACAACCACAGACAGATGGGTTCTTTCTTCATGTAACGGGTATATATGAGGATTCTAGTAACTGACAGATGTCCCATGGAAATAATGCGATGCTACTCATTATGTATAATATTTAGTCTGCATTTGAATGTGGGCGGCATTTGGTCTGCATTGACGTGGAATCCTGACTGTTTTCGCTTAGTTTTTTTGAAGGCTCGCGTCTGATAGCGCATGATTTTCCAGTTACGTAAACATCGAAAATGCCAAGTTCCAAGGCCCTCTTTCCTTCATGGAGGGGAGGGTTCTGTGATTGCACTGCCGGGAGACGAAGCACACTGCTCTATATTATGGTGTAAGTGACATCAGTGTGCATCAAATGACTAGGTACCCAATTATACACATCATGTCCTTGTCTGCCTTACCACACACACACCCAAACCTACCAAGCCCCGTGGTACCCTTTTCAGTTCTCCAGGTGCACTGGGACAGTTATACCTTCATCCAAGTTCAAAAACATTATGCATAGCTACAACATTTGTATAACACATTAAAATTAAGCTATCGTCACATAGTAAACTCTCTGTTATTGTTTTCCTGTGTTCTCTTCATCAGGCACCCCCTCATCATGACTATTATCTCCCTCCTGGATAATCAAACTCTTTCTCTCTTCTTTACTATCGCTCTTCCTAGGTGGGATTCGAAGAGAAAGGCTACTGCGACGAGGCGTGCTGGAGCTGCTCCCAGAGCGAGCACGAGTCTTCACCCGAATGCTATTTTCAGAGGTTTGGGGCAGTTTTGAATTGCCATCTAGAGAAGGTTCAGCTTCCTGCACAGAACGTTCTTTATTGGCTGAATCTGTTCCTACTGCTTGATCTTTCCTGCTGTCAAGTTGCTCTGACTCCGACATATTTGTAAGGTCACCTCTTTTTCGACATTGTGGCTCTATATTTTGTTCTGGTTGATGCTCTTCCTTGCTAACATGATCCTCCATTTCTTGTCTGTTGCTAGAAGAACTCGGCATTCTTTCGCGTCTATTTTCATCACTGGTGACGGAATGCTGCTGCTGGTCACTGACAGTAACTTCCACAGGCCCACGAGAAGGTTGTTGTGTCTCAGTACCAGGTTCTTGAACGCCTATCCCTGACTCAATACTAGGTTGTTCTCCATTATGTCTTGATAGTGATGGTGACTGTCTGAAACGATGCTTGTTTGATTTCCGCATAACTTTACATAGCCCCCACACTACAATTACTGACCAAGTTATTAACAGTGCAATACTCTCGAAAACAGCAAACACAATGCAGGCGATGCCATCATCACCTGAGAGGTAAATACATATATAGCTACTAATTATTCTTTCACAAGTAACATGAATACTTACCCATCCTTTTTTCCACACCTGAAGTATAAATAAAACACAATAAAATCATGAATGTATCAGAGCTCTATGTAGACGCTCTATGTAGGGATGGCATAAGTGAAATCTCACTTGATCCGCCTACAAAACAGCTCCAAACTCGGTGAGAACGGCTAGCAAAGCCAAGCCAAAATCACTGACAGGCCTGTATATCTTGCCTCTTGCCTCTATAATTCTTCATGCAAGAAATCACTGATAGCTACCCAATTTTCGTGTAATCGTCATATAAATTATTCTTCATCTTTCCGGATTCTTCTTCAGTAAACCGGCTATCTCATTACTGAAAATAGTTGAAGCACTGATTTTTCACTAAAATTCGCCAGAGGTGTGCACAGACATAACCAATCGTTTTTCTCCTCCCCTTCACAATAGCGGTGAACGACGCCATTTGCTGCCCACTCAGCATGGGCAGTGGGGGCATTGTCTGTGTGTGCGACTCCTTGTGGAGCGACGCCTTCTCAAATTAGTGGCTCCACGAGGCTCGTGCGTGCCCTGGGCCAAATATCCTGGACTGCACTTCCTTGCAACTACTTTTTTGGACACGGTAGCAGTGCCTCTGCTAGTAACATATTATGAAGCAGAATGTCTCTGTATACAGATGCATTTTTGCTTCAAATTAAAAAAAATGAGTGCAACACACCATACATATAATACACATGTAAAAACAAAATCTTTACCTTCTGTTATTGTTGCTCCTGTTTCAGGTAAAGAGCAGTCCGGGGGGGGGAACAGGTAGTGAGGACAGTTATTGAGGACATTTAGGGCACACCTTTCATCAGAACTGAAGCACGTCTGCTATCCTCAGGCTTATCCTCGGGAGAGTGAGCAGAGAAGACATGGCAAAAGTAGTCTCCGGGAACAGCATCATAGAGAAGTAAATAAAACGCATGTCCGTTGATTATGGTGATGTGAGTCTCATTTAGAGTTCTGTTTGAGCTGGTTGTCCAGGTGACAAAGTCCTCACTGTCAGTGCTTCTGATATTACACTCAAGAATGGCAGATTGCCCGATTGCAGAAATGGTGAAACCTTTTGTGCCCGATATCTTTGGGGGATCTATACAAGAGGCAGTGAAGCATAAAAAACGAAAATCATTTTGCAGAAACTCACCATAAACTGTAAGTTTGGTAATGGCAGTGTCACTCTGTAGTGGTGTAGAGTACTCATCCAATGTCACAGTCACTGTACACTCATACTCTCCAGAATCATTCTCACTGGCTCCAGATACAATGTGGACTACACCGTTCTTCCCAGGAAGGAGAACAGTAGTGATTTCCTGATCTCTTGGATGCCTCATTAGGTAGTTTGCTATAGTGTTTGCTGGTGGGTAGCTCTCGGCGGTGCATGTAACATTGACACTCATCCCCAATCTAGCCACAGGGACTGAGGTGTTGAGTTGTACTTTTGGCTTCACTGTGTGTTGGATGGTGTAAGAGGTAAACTTTCATTAACCCTCGGCATGCATACGCAGCGAGGGTTACTGTAGTTGGTTTGTCTGTCTGTCTGTCTGTCTGTCTGTGTGTGTGTCCCCGCTTATTCTGGCACTACAGGCTACGAGGCAGCCTATTAGCATTACCAGTGGCTTCAGAACTACACGGGCCTGAAAAACAAAAAGGCAATTACCCTGAAGCGCGACTGCGTTCGAGAGATATGCCGTGAAAACAAGCGAAAAAGCCAAGATATGCATTGCATAATCGCTTACCGCGACCTGATCCTTTCGCTTTGCGTACCTTCTTGGAGGCCCAAGAAGTCACAAGTAAATTCGTGTATCAACTCCCGCATGCTATCTACTAGTGTAGCTAGCCCGTGTCAGACTCTCCGCAAGCTAATAGCATGGAAACTACCAGTAAACACATACTCTTTGCCCAACCAATCAATGAGTGGTACCACGCATGCGCAGTGTGCCGAGGGTTTACACTTCAGTGCTTTTCTTTTTTTCAACCCTTCTTTCGTACACTTGCATGCGGAGGGAAAGATAAAATCTATTTTCTGCATGAGCTCTGGATTAGCACATCAAGAGGGAGAATGTGACGACCTGGGTCCTTCAAAAGTATGGTGCTCCTGTTTTCGACAGAAAATTAGTTATCTTCATAACTCTGATAGGTTTTGGGCCTGATGGAAGCACGCGTGAAATCGCCACGAGAGCAACCATTCCGTGTGGCCTGTAATCAACAGTCTACGTGCATGTGTGTTATATCCGTATACTTGAATTTGTGGGTCCGTATACTATGAATTGGACTCTGACCCGAGTAAACGAGCGTTTTAGCTACATTCTACGCAGAAGGAGGTTCGCTCTTGTACTGGTAGAATATCTCTGCATGTATGCCTGCAAAGCGAAGGGACAGCGCTAGTCAGCTAGCTCGGAAGATCTGCTGCTTAACATTTAAAAAATTGCTTGCGCAACGTGCGTGCTACGCAAATACTGTCGGCGTTTCAGCAAACCGACCAATCATAGTTGTTTCTGTGTATCTGCTAATCTTCCCAGTTATGCAAGCTGGTATTGGGAGGGAGGTTTTATCAGCATGGGAAGATTGTATAGTGCAACCTAATCTGGGTAATTCTTATCTTTTAGAGTCCCTTTGTTATTCTCTTTAGCCAGGGTTACCTTGTACATAGTTAGCTTGGCTGTAGTGGTGCAGGGAGGTATACACTCCCAAGATGAACAGATATTTTCTACTAGTCTTGTGTCTAGTGACACTGTCTAATGTACAGCTGGGACAGTCTCAATCTGATGGTAAGTACAAACAATAAATATGCTTGGTATCACAATATTCACTGTATGTGTGGGCTACAGTTGCTAAGATTGCAGCAGCTGTGTTCAAAGCTCTGAGTCCCCTATTGTATGAGATGAAGGAAGACATTAGCTGTGTGAAGAGTGAAATAGCCAATCTCAGTGAGACAGTCAGTCACCTAGCTGAGGAACTGCAATACCACAAGAATGAAACTGCATCTGAACTAGTAGATCTTAGGTCCTCAGTCAGATCAGAATTTGTTTCAGTCAACTCTGAATTAGCTAATCTGGGATCCTCTCTCCAGTCCATGATTGATAATCCACCAACTGAGGCAGTGCGTAGTGCTGTATTGAGGGCTCTACTGCCATATGTGAACAACATGGAAGATAATATCAAGACAGAGTTGGGGCAGTTGGTTAGGGAGAGATCTTCTGCTATCAATGAGACAGTAGTTATGATGAACAACTCCATAAGAGATGATCTCAACGGTGTCAAGACTGAGTTAAACCGTGTCAATGGAATCATCAGTGATCTTGGTGGATACCTACAAACACACAGTCAGCAGACTACATCTGCAGCGGCTCAACTTGACACTAGACTGAGTTCTCTGAATGAATCAATGAGGGATAATTTCGATGATGTCAAGACTGACTTAAATGTGGTTAGTAACAGAACCACTACAATGTGTGACAAAATTGAGACTACAAATAAATCTGATTTAAAGGACATGAAGGAGAATCTAACGCAACAAAGTACAGGTTACACAATGTCATGTGGAGGTGTTGGTTGGAGACGTGCAGTCAACCTGGATATGACAGACCCCAACACCACCTGTCCCTCTGGCTGGCAGCTCACCGAATATTCCAAGATAACTTGTGGCAGAGTTAGTACTGAATCTAGGACTTGTGACTCAGTCTTCTTCAATGTCAGTGGAGGACCATACAGTCAGGTGTGTGGCAGGATCAGAGCCTACCAGTGGGGAACGCCTAATGCCTTCGCTGGGTATGGAAGTAGTGGACAAACTACAATTGACAGTGGCTATGTCAGTGGTGTGGCAGTAATGCATGGCAGTCCTCGACAACACATCTGGACATTTGCTAATGGAGCATGGGAGAATAATGCAAGATCCCAAGTATGGAACTGTCCATGTGACAATGGAGCTACATCCATCCCACCATTTATTGGAGAAGATTGCTTCTGTGATTCAGGGTATGTGTATCCTGGGTATGACAACCATACAGACTGGTACAGACTCCACTCCAATGACGCTCTCTGGGATGGTGAAGACTGTCACTCCACCAGTACATGTTGCTCTTTCCACAATCCTCCATATTTCACCAAAACCCTCAACCAGACAACTACTGATGACCTTGAACTGAGAATGTGTTATTATAGTTCCATACAATATGCCAACCTAGCAGTGGAGCTGGTTGAGTTGTACGTCAAGTAGCTATAATGCTACCACTGACTGAAAACATTCAATACCTTTGTGTTTTGTTCATAATAATATTATTATCTTTTACACAGTAAAATTCACAGAAAAAAGATTCGGCGATCATCTCAGTCAATAACATTGCATCAGAAATTAACGCTTAGCTGACTGAAAACTGAACTCACCTTGCAATAACACTGCCTTTCTAAATAATGCCCACTTAGCACCTGTTTATGTTGGACACCTTCCTAGATAGTGCCCACAGTTAGCCAATAAAATGTTTATGACATGTACATAATTATTTCTCCATGCAGACTCATCCAGGTCCCAAGCCCACTGTGGCAGTCACTCTAGCAAAACTGAAACATTGTCCTCCTCTTGAGGTAAGAGAGTGCGTGAGTGAGAGAGGGGGGAGGAGAGAGCAAAAGGTTTTCTTTGGCTCCAGAATGAAGTGTCTCCTCTGACGAAGGCAGTTCATGTGACAGCTGCTCTGGTCCTCAGAAAACTGTGTCGAATGGCTCCCTCCACTCACTGGTATACAACACCTCTTCCCTGTTTTGTTTATTCCTCTTTTAGTACATTTATCCTAACACCCACATGTTCTATATACATGTATAATCCCTCTCTTACTTCATTACCCTCATTCCCTCTCTTTCCTCTCTCCCAACAGTCAGATAAGGAGACATGAACACAGACTGAGTGAAGTGGCTCTGTCCGACAGAGAAGCTGCTCACGCCATTACAGAGTGTCTCACCTATTTAAACCTCCCTCCTTCTCCTCCGGCCCTCTGTCGCCGCTAACCCTCATTATAACACTGTCACACATCATCAGTTGACTGAAGACGCATACAGCTCTCCCTAATGATTGTATTATTACATTTCATCAGTCTTCCAACCAGAGAAACCTGCATAAGGTTGTTCAAAGGCGTCTGTAGTTGTTTCTGTGTATCTGCTAATCTTTAGGCTACTAATCTTCCCCAAGTTATGCAAGCTGGTATGGAGGGTGGTTTTATCAGCATGGGATGATTGTATAGTGCAACCTAATGTGGTTCTTTAGCTTCCCTCTGTTATTGTAACTCTTTAGCCAGGGTTATCTTGTACATATATAGTTAGCTTGGCTGTAGTGGTGCATGCATTGCAGGGAGCCTGAACGCCTTCTGAGATGGACTGGTCTTTTCTGCTGGTCTTGTGTCTAGTGACACTGTCTAATGTACAGCTGGGACAGTCTCAATGTGATGGTAAGGGAATAGATAATACTTGGCATCACAATAAGATTGTGTTTGCTGCAGTTGTGAGGATTGCTGCAGCTGTGCATGAAGTTGTAGGACCAGCTTTGGAAACCATGCAGAAAGACATGAAGAATATGAAGTCTGACATGGCAAGCCTTAGTCAAAAAAGTAGGTAATCTCACGGAGGAAGTTAACTCTAAGTTAGCTGATGTTCAAAGAGGTCTTGAGTCAAAGCTTGTTTCTGTCAATGATTCATTGAATGACTCTTTTCACAATCTGTTTGATCTCACAACTTCTGAACTAGCTATCATGAACAGCTCCATGAGGTGTGTCAAGACTGAGTTAAGCCGTGTGAATGAAATCATGAGTGTTCTAGGTGGACACCTACAGACACACAGCCAGCAGACTATACATCTTAACTTGACACCAGACTGAGTTCTCTGAATGAATAATGAATCAATGAGAGATGATTTCGATGATGTCAAGACTGAGTTAAATGGTGTCAGTAACACAACCACTGCAATGTGTGACAAAATTGAAAAACATGAGACTGCAATTAAATCTGATTTAAAGGACATGAAGGAGAATCTAACACAACAAATTAGTGGTTACACAATGCCATGTGGAGGTGTTGGTTGGAGACGTGCAGTCTACCTGGATATGATAGACCCCAACACCAACTGTCCCTCTTGCTGGCGGCTCACTGGATACTCCAAGAGAACTTGTGGCAGAGTTAGTCCTAGAGAGAGGACATGTGACTCAGTCTTCTTCCCTGTCAGTGGAGGACCATACAGTCAGGTGTGTGGCAGGATCAGAGCCTACCAGTATGGAGCGCCTGATGCCTTTCATGGGTATAGTTATCATGAACAAACTGCAGTTGATAGTGTTTACTTTGACGGTGTGGCTGTAATGCATGGAATTCCTAAGCAACATATTTGGACATTTGCAGCTGGAAGTTCTGAGAATGCGACCCATGGGGACCACCTCTGTCCATGTGACACTACTTAATCACATTATCGATCCCACCATTTGTTGGAGAAGATTACTTCTGTGAGTCTGGGTATGTACGTGGCAGTAGTGTACCAGCTAGCAGCTTCCACTCCAATGACACTCTCTGGGAATTTTGAAGAAATGATTTTTCACTGTAATATATATGCGTTCGTACGTCGTGTAAGTGCGCATGCGCGTATTTGTACGCGCTTCTTTTTATCCGAAATTATTTCAACTCTCCTCCATTCGACCATCGGTGACTGACCGAAGCTGTACCTCTTCCCAATCTCAAGGTGCAACTTGCATAATACGCTAGGGCACATACTGCTGCATGCCAGTTGCCAGGTGGACCACGACTGACGAGCGAAAGCGTAAGGTAAGTACCGTTCTGCTCACCTGCTCACCGTTCTGACAATATACAGTACGCATGTAACGGCGACAGGTAGATCTGTCTTGCTTCACGAAAGGAAAGCTGTGCGCTGACGCGTTATGCAGCCCGAACATCGCGGTGAAATCCCAAGTTGGGTCGCTCCCGCTCGCCAACAATGTTCAACATTTCCACTAGTTGACATTCCCCAGCGTGACTAATTGACATTCTTAAGCGAGCGGGTACGTACGTACGTACGTACGCATATCGCGAGAATACACCCGCCTCACGCTATGCGGTACGCATATCAACGCGGAGTAGTTGCCTCACGCTAACGCGCTCGCAATTACGACCGGGCGTGCGTGCGTCCGTACGTCGTGTAAGTGCGCATGCGCGGCTTTGTACGCGCTTCTTTTTATCCGAAATTATTTCCAAACTTTTTACACATTTTCACACACATGCCTCGCGATATGCGCCGATCGATCTAGCCAGCCAGAGAACTCTCCTCTATTCGACGGCATGCTCTGCAACCTTCGGTGACTGACCGAGGCTGTACCTCTTTCCATTCTTCATGGTTCCAAGCTGCAAATACGCTAGCATTGCTCGTGCACATACTGCTGCATGCCAGCTACCTGATGGACGTTGTCGGGCAGCCCGATGGATCGCTGCCTAGCCTACTGCCATGCCAGCTGCCTGGTGGACCACGACAGACAAGCTGAAAGCGTGAGGTAAGGACCTTTCTGCTCACCTGCTCACCGTTCTGGCAATATACAATACGCATGTAACGGCGACAGGTAGATCTGTCTTGCTTCACGAAAGGAAAGCTGTGCGCTGACGGCACGTTATGCAGCCCGAACATCGCAGACAAATCCCAAGTTGGGTCGCTCCCGCTCGCCAACAATGTTCAACATTTCCACTAGTATAATTATAATGTAATTAGATAGTAGGAAGGTGTGTTGTTATCTATGGGGCGCCACGTTTGATCAGAATGTTATGTCCTCCAGATATAACTAACAATAAAATTGATGATGACAATACAACCATCAGTGATATGTAGAAGTACAATATTTTAGCGAGTGACTAGCGGGCGGGAGCGAGCTAACCTAGTGGTCCAAACGGCGCGATTTTTACGTCCGTCCGTACGTCGTGCTATTGCGCATGTGTCACAGAATTACGCGCTTCTTTTTATCCGAAATAATTTCAAATCTCTTACACGCTAGTTCGATGCCGAGCAAGGGAGAGAACTCTTGTCCATTCGGCGGCATTCGCTGCACTCTTTGGTGCCTTACCGAGGCTTGCAATCTTCGTGGTTCCAAGCTGCAAGTTGTAAGTGGCCTAGGTTGGCTCGTGCGGATATAATCATTGTGTGCTCGCTCCCGCTCGCCAAAAATGCCGTGCATTCGCCTACTAGTAATGTTATTGTCATATTTTGCAGTAAAACGAGTCGAAGACAGTAGCAACGGACGTTGCCTCGCCCGTTCTCGATCTCTTAGTCGGCGTCCAGAAAGACGAGCCTCTCTCTCTTCAGCACTTTCATTGACACGTTCTCTGTCTATTTCTCTTCGACGAAGAACACTATCCTCCGCGGATGAATCCATCTCCTTCGAAGCCAACTGGACTGCCTTCGAAGCCAACTGGACGGACTGTAAGAGGATGAATAAAAAATTCCGCACAGTATCTAGAAGCTGTATCTTTTTTTCGACGAAGAACACTATCCTCCGCGGATGAATCCGAAGCCAACTGGACGGACTGTATGAGGATGGAGGAAAAAATTCCGCACGTATAGAGTAAGCCACCGATAATCGGACGCCATGTATTCTCGGACGCATTTGTGAAGTCTGTGCAGGACTAGATTGGCTATTGTGTATACCAAAGTGTAGTTCTTGGTCATAAATTGTTGTATAAAAATATTCGCTCTTATCCGAGCTTTACCGTGGGAATGACGTTGCCGTAAAGTTACGATTCGGGCACAGCAAAGATCGGACAAGCGCATCAATGGTAGGACAGTCTCCCAAAACGGGAACAGTATGAATGATCCAAGCGAGTGTATGCTCGATTGATAGCTGTACCTTTTGGCTATGCAGCGACCCACAAATGGCCCTTTTTTGTCTTCGCTCTTTTTGCTCACGAAAGCGCAAATAGGCGGGGTCGCGTAAGCCGCGTTTTACGCGAAAAGCAGTTTTCGGCTTGTTTCTTCTAACAAACCCGCCGGATGAAGCTTCTTCTTGCCTTATATTAGATGCCTGCACCACGATTTCCGTTTTTGTAAGATTTTAATTAATTTTTTGTAATTACCAATAAAAAGTTAGATCTCACAAAAACGGAAATCGTGGTGCAAGCATCTAGTATAAGGCAAGAAGAACGAGAATAAAAATTTAGAGCTTCATCCGGCACGTGCGTTAGAAGAAACAAGCCGCGACTGCTTTTCGCGTAAAACGCGGCTTACGCGACCCCGCCTATTTGCGCTTTCGTGTCAAGACAAATAGAAAGCGCCATCTTTGCTGTGCCCGAATCGTAACTTTACGGCAACGTCATTCCCGCGGTAAAGCTCGGATAAGAGCGAATATTTTTATACAACAGTTTATGACCAAGAACTACATATTGGTAGCTAAACACAGTAGCCAATCTAGTCTTGCACAGACTTCACAAATGCGTCCGAGAATATATGGCGTCCGATTATCGGTGGCTTACTCTAATTGGGCGAGCGGAGCGAGCCCACCTAGTCGTTCGTTCTAGCGGAGTATTTCTATCAGAGCGTCGGTAGACGCTCTATGTAGGGATGGCACGTGTCCAATCTCACGTGATCCTCGTAGTAGGCGAATGCATGGCATTTTTGGCGAGCGGAAGCGAGCTTACAAATGGGGTCTAATCGTATGAGTCACTCTTGTGTGTGCACAAAACAGTGAGATACATTGCATAGGACCAAGTAGGCCGAAACAACCCTTTTAGACCCGAGCGCAGTAGACAATTCGAGTCGAGTAAAAAACAGTCAGACGACAGCGCGAATCAGGCATGCCTGATGTGCTTCCTCGGATTCTGCAGCGCGTCTAGCTCTTGATCGTACACGACCTCTTGCTAGTCGCGCTTCACTTTCCTCCGCTGTTTCTGTTGCCCGGCGTCGTTCCCGATCACGCAATCGGCGTTGAGAAAGCCGAGCTTCTCTCTGCTCAGGAGTCTAACTGGCACGACGTTCTCTTTCCCTCTCTCGTCGACAACGAAGAGCATCTTCTCTAGACCGATCCATAACTCTCTCCCTTTCCTCACACGCTCACAAATTATCAGGGGTGGAGCCTACTGAGGGACGACGTATAGACGGTGACATGCGCAGTTCGGCGACGCTCGACAACGTACGGGTATGTACATTAGAAAAATCGCGCCGTTCGGACCACTAGGTTAGCTCGCTTCCGCTCGCCAATTAGTAGGAAGTTGTGATGTCATAGGTATGGAATTTCCTAATGGGCTAGTAACTCTGTGGTCCTGGGTGATCTATGATATCACAAGTGTAAAAATGGTGGGTGTGCGTGTGTGCGGGTGTCCGTCCGCCGTCAGTCCGTCTGTCCATCGGTAACCGCGGCAACTCTGAGCGTGAAACGTGGACATTATTTTCAACTAGTAAAATAAGGTTCTGGAGCGGAGTAGTAACTAGTATTGAACGCGCATGTGCCAAAACCTGACGTAGTGTATCTAGTAGCCATTGCCTGCTGAAATAAAGAATAAAGGTGGCGAGGGTTATGCACTTCCAAGTGCTTTTCATTTCAGCTACCTTAATAATTGCGGGTACTAATTTTAGCGTTTTTGCACTCAGTGTTTTTGGCGTATACTAATTTTAGCGATTTGTCTAACATTTTTGTTCTATTTAAGCGAATTTATACGGCAGCAGATTCAAATTGACCAATCAGATTGCGTAAAACGTGGATTCCAATGCATGTTTCCACGGAGACGCCCGCCAAAAAATGGCGTCTTAGATGGGGGTGTGGCAAGCTTCCGCGCAAAGAAACTGGCTCTGTGGCTGAGAGGTCGCCGCGACGACTTCAAACTCGCTATATCGGATGCTTCTTCGATGAAAGGCCTCTCTGCGATGCTAAAATAAAGACCTTTTTAGCTTCCCCCAGCGAGCGGAAGACGACGGACCCGGACGATTTTGACGGCAAGCACGGCCTTGTCAATGGAAAAGACGGCCTCAGAGCCCTTAGTAGCGTCTTCGTTGCGCTCAGACAGCTACACCTCAGGGCCTTTCGTGCATGCCGTCTAAATCGCGTATTTCCATTGACGCGCAGTTTTCAGTGCGGCACAATTATTAGCGCACATATAATTTAGCGGTTTTGCTGATTCCCGCTAAATTCCCTAATTAGTACCCGCAATTAATAGTAACCTTAAGGTATGCTCACAAACAGTCCGCCCTCGCCCCCGGTCTGTTTATGCTCAGTGAAAACATCGCGATATAATATAAGGAAAAGTTTATATAAACAGGGAAAAGGGAAAAAGGAACATTGAGCGTATACTTGTGTTTAGACATGTTGGACCCCAGGGAACCCACAAGACAGGTTCCATGAGCTAGCTATAGCCACATGCATGGGTCTGTGTGTGTGTTTTGTCTCATTGAGCATCTATCACAGTCACCACATACAATTTTATCACTGATTATGACTCTAGAGTTTGTGCAAAAGCTCTGAGTTAATAGTTTTTCACTTGTTGCTACCAGATCTAGTCACCAAACTCTTGTATCTGGTGTATTTGCAGGAACCCAAGCTTGTCTGCTGATCCTTCTATAGTTTTTGTCAGGGAAGCATTCTGTCACATTTTGTAAGGTGTTCTACCACAACGGAGTATATAAGAGTGGTGTTGGTAGTTCTGCTACACCAATTACATTTCGTGGTTAGCAGCTTGTGCATCAGCCATATGGACATCTGCATCAGCCATTTGGACATCTAGCCATAAACCCCAAACTGAATTTCAATTTCAATGCTAAAAACACAACTGATCATTTACGCATACTCTCTTGTTGTTCAATAACGCTAATTTAACATTACTCTAGTAAAGGTCTTCCGTACTAGCAACTCTGAAGACATAAAAAATTCCATTGAACTGTGTATAATGTTACTATAATTTTTGTAATTGTGCCCGACAATTGCATTACCTCTGCTGCACTTACGCATGGCTAGTCGTCAAACCCTAGTGTCTTCCACACCTCTTGTTCCATTTTGAAACTTTGTCGGTTTCTCGTGACAATTTTTTCAAACTCCTGAAGAAGTCCCAGTTTGAGCATTGCATCATAGACTTTGGAGTAGGCAAAGTGAACTACTAATGCTTCACCCACTACGCAATTAGGGTGCGCCACTTTAGCTGAATATGTAACGGTCCACCATTGCTCGTCATCAGGCCCTATAGGTTCAATACTGGCCATTTCATACGTTAGTAAATGTCTGTCCAACAAGAATGCGTTAATGCTGAAGCGCTTTCGATCTGGAGTGAGGTAGAGCCCCTTGAAAAAGTACCTTTCCAACTGGTTGTTTTTGTGGTGATGTAAAAAAGTACGAAGGGTCAGCTCTGCACAGTCAGCTGTTTTCCAACCACAATGGGCTTTGGGACTAAAGTCAAAAACGAAATGCTTAGGATTTGTTTCATTGTAGACGTCATTCTTTTGGTGCAACCAACTGCATCTCCAGTTTGAACCTGCAATGTTGAAGAAGTGCATGAAACACTGGGAGGGGTTCTGTTTCTCAATCATGGTCCTGAAGGCACCTGGGTGGATGTACACAATATCATCATCTAGTTTTAAGTATTTGTCATATGGGTGCTGAACAACTCCCTCGAAAACTTCCTTGTAGGGACGGTGAAACTTTACTGGTGGCGTTCCCAAGTAGTGAACGGAGAATATGACGTGTTTTGAAGCGTTATTAGCTACTTCAATGAATTTGAGAAGACTTTGTTCCGCTTGCTCGTCGTACTTTATCATCATGAACCAGACCTCATGAATGACACCTCCATTTCTATGTAGCTCCCTGTAAATGTGGGCCAGTTGGATTCTTAGAAACTTCCACCTACCCGCGTAGATGAAGATGATGTTGCGCGGCACCACCGTAACGCAATCTACGTACTTTGGCACGAGCTCTGGCTTGACGTTTTCCTGCCTGTAAACTAGTACGTAGCCCAACAAAGCAGCGACCAACAGAGTTAGCAGAGTTGCAACGACTCTCGGTCTCATCGTCAGTACGAACACTGGACAAAGGGTTCTAAGGTTCAGGGGTTACGCCAGTAAAGGCCACCGTTCCTGAAATATTTCCACATTTCAACTCTGCGGTATGTACTGGTATATACCCGTCCAGTATGAGGTGAGATTAATGCAAAATTACGCACACCAACGTCCGCTAAATAAGATAGTCGCATATATACTACAAATAGCCCAGCCCATCAATTATCGGTACCGCGTATGCCAAGGGTTTTCCCTTTGGTGTTATTAGGTTACCCAGGGCTCATTCTGGTACACACACTGGGAAAACTGGGTACCCAAATAAAAATGTTTGTACCAGAATGAGCCCTGGGTAATCTAAGTGCAAACCCTTGGCGAACTGTGCATGCGCGGTACCGCTGGGCTGGGCCGGCTGCGTGGTCTCCCGCTAGAGTAGCTCGGGGAAAGTCTGACCCGGGTTAGCTACAGTAGTAGATAGCATGTGGGAGTCGATACACGCCCTTCGTTGTGACTTCTTGTGCCTCCAATGTACACAGAGCGAGCGGACCCGGTCGAGGTAAGCCCGTGCTAATTTACGTATTGGCTTGTTCATTGGTTTTCACGCCATAACTTCTGAACGCGGCACTTTTACAAAATTTCCATTTAAAAAATGAAGCCAGTGTAGCGCTGAACCCGTTGGTGTCGCTCTGCTTGTCACGCGTGGTGGCAGAAACGGCCGGACGGACAGACAGCTACAGACGGACAGACCAAGTACAACCCTCGCTGCGCATGCGCGCCGAGGGTTAAAAGTGTGTGTGTATACCAGACCTGAGTAGCATAAAAAAAAAGTGTGTGTATATACCCAAATGAAAACTGGGTACGCAAAATTGAAAAAGTGTGTAGCTACCCAAATTTACGTATCTTATTTAACGGACATTGGTGTGCGTCATTTTGACACTCCCATAGTCCAGTGCAATCACTGGGAAAGGTTCCATTTGCGGAGTTTGTAGCTATTTAATAACCCCTTTTCTTCTGCTTTTTGCGTCCACGAAACGGGACCATGGCATACCCTCGAGTCTCTCTACAGGTTATAAAGCTTACTAGAAGGCCTGCAATCGGGGAAAAGTCACTGGAGTTCATCCATGCGGACATAGCTACCTGCTGAGCCTGCGTGCGTACCAAGCGAACAGTTGATGACATGAACGAGGAGCAAAGAGTGACAGAGGACTTATCGGGGCACCATGTAGATCCTTTCCTTCCTTGGGCAGCACATCCTACACTTCATGAGGTTGAGAGTAGAGCATCTGCTGCTGGATGGCAAAAGATTCGAAAGGAAATCATTGACGCAGTTACTGGAAATGAAGCTATGCCTGTTCGTCAGGTTTGCTCTAAATTCCTTGCATTGTTTTGTTGTTCTAAGAGGCAACTGTATTTAAGTTTGTCTTAATTGGGTGAGGTTTGCATCTCTACGTTGTCAAGGATGCGCACCCCTCGGCTTTTATTGTTCTGAGTGTTTGAAAATGCTCACAGATGTATAAATCTGTTTCATGTGGCTGAGAAATGGGAGGTACTCTACAATCTTGCTTGTGTTGTCAGTGACTAGCAACAATTTATTTCTAGGGTGACCATTATGTACCTGTGACAAATGAGCGTCACATTGATGTTCGAAGTCATGTGTGTGATTCTAATAAAGAGATGGTATATATTTCACTGCCTTGACAAGCATGGTATAGCTAAATACCATGTGTAATGACTTCATACTTCCAGGAGTTGAGCATAGGACACAGTTCTCTTATTGCCACTGCGAACCACTCATAAAGACACTGTGTAGTGGCCAGCTACTCCAACTAATCCTCAATATGCTTTTTCTTTTGCTGTCCTGGATTGGGTGGAAGCACTACTCTTGAATGTCAAGTTGCCTTGAAAGATTTCTGCAATACTCCTAGTTTTACAACTCCTTTTTACAATCAAAAGGTTGGCAAAAAATTTCTTTTTGTTTAAAATGTGGTCTTTGTTTCTGTAGAAAAGGGATGTATATTCGTGCATGATGAATGCATTTGAAGAGTTCAGGTTCAAAGAAAATGGTTCTCTTAGTATTATACTCAACTTGCTTGTCTTGATATAAAGCAGATACATGTATATGAAGCACAACTTGAGGCATCTAAATTAATATCCAGCCATCTTGATTCAGGAAATGTCTGCCCTGCTGCCCACAGGTTGGTATATACCATTGTTCTTGCTTGTTCCTTACTTTTTTAGCATATATAAATGGAGGGAAAGTAGTTTATGCTATGGATGCTCTCTTTGGTTTGCCACGAAAAGGTAAGCTGGTGTTAGTTACAAGGCACCTCTCCTTGGAAGTCTTTTTTTAGGATCAGTCCTTAGTTGACCAGCTTGTTGCAGAAAACAAGAAGACTAAATCATTGTCTACGGTGCGTTAGTACATTCTGTATAAAGCCCCATTCATTTATTCTTTTTTCATAGACATGCAATGATTTTTTAGCGGGAAAAATAATATATGCTTTCAAGTGCAAATAGGTATAATGCTCTTGATGAAACAGCAGTATTTGGATGTTCCTGCCGTCATGAATTTCCTGTTTATACTTGAAACATGGGGAAAGGTAAAAGTGCCCAGAATTTGGAAACCTAGTTTTCCATTCCTCATCCAGATTGGCATAATTATGCTGTGTGGGTGCTAGAAACGATGCTTTCTAGGCACATGTCTAGTGGATCGGATCTATTTTATGTATGACATAGCCTGTACATTATATAGGGCATTTGCAGGTAAGTGGGCACTTAAAACATGATGTTGTGTTGTAAAATGGTTTTATTTCTCAGTCTATAGGTCGAGCTGATATTCTCAACAGCTGTCATTAAAATAAAGCAACAGGTCCGGATTGAGTGAGACATGTCATAAATGTCTCAGCAGGCCGAAAGGCAGGCACAGAGGCTGTGCGTAAGTCTGTATAATGGCAGAAAGAAAGATCGCCACAGCGTGCATGGGCGGGATGAAAGGGGTGTGTCGATTTGGACAGAATTACGCATACGTGTAGGAGAGTTGCTGGAAAAGGCCGAAAATTTGTGACTGAAAGAGATATATGCGCGGCCCATTTGATTTCTAGGGCTTCTGTGGTACAATCTTGTTTGTACAGTGGTTTCCTGCTTCAATATGCGCGTGCGCATTCCTAGTATAATACGTAGTGGTGTTGGCGGGCTTTGGGGCTCTGGTTTCCTTACACTGATGACATGATTGTGTTTTTAGCACCTTGTGCTTCAGCTCTACTGATAATGTTGGTCATCTGCAACTCATTTGCCACAAACCAAAAACTGGATTTTAAAAGACGCAACTGATTTGTTTAAATTTATGCAGCATCTATCTGCTACTATTACTATTGTTTAGTATAAGTTATACATTTGGGTCATACTAGCACCCTTGATGACTCTGAAAAACTGTACTGAAGTGTGAAATCGCATGTAATTATGCATTATTATGTAATTATGCCCAACGATAGCATTACCCTTACCGTACTTACGCACGGGGATAAGTAAACAAGATCTAGTCATCAAATCCCAGTGTCTTCCATACCTCTGGTTCCATTTTGAAACTTTGTTGGTTTTTCGTGACAATTTTTTCAAACTTCTGAAGAAGTCCCAGTTTGAGCATTGCATCATAGACGGTGTAGTAGGCAAAGTGAACTACTAATGCTTCACCCACTACGCAATTAGGGTGCGCCACTTTAGCTGAATATGTAACGGTCCACCATTGCTCGTCATCAGGCCCTATAGGTTCAATACTGGCCATTTCATACGTTAGTAAATGTCTGTCCAACAAGAATGCGTTAATGCTGAAGCGCTTTCGATCTGGAGTGAGGTAGAGTTGGTTGAAAAAGTACCTTTCCAACTGGTTGTTTTTGTGGTGATGCATAAAAGAACGAAGGGTCAGCTCTGCACAGTCAGCTGTTTTCCAACCACAATGGGCTTTGGGACTAAAGTCAAAAACGAAATGCTTAGGATTTGTTTCATTGTAGACGTCATTCTTTTGGTGCAACCAACTGCATCTCCAGTTTGAACCTGCAATGTTGAAGAAGTGCATGAAACACTGGGAGGGGTTCTGTTTCTCAATCATGGTCCTGAAGGCACCTGGGTGGATGTACACAATATCATCATCTAGTTTGAAGTATTTGTCATATGGGTGCTGAATAATTCCCTCGAACACTTCCTTGTAGGCACGGTGAAATGTTACTGGTGGCTTTCCCAAGTAGTGAACGGAGAATATGACGTGTTTGGAAGCGTTATTAGCTACTTCAATGAATTTGAGAAGACTTTGTTCCGTTTGCTTGTCGTACTTTATCATCATGAACCAGACCTCATGAATGACACCTCCATTTCTATGTAGCTCCCTGTAAATGTGGGCCAGTTGGATTCTTAGAAACTTCCACCTACCCGCGTAGATGAAGATGATGTTGCGCGGCACCACCGTAACGCAATCTACGTACTTTGGCACGAGCTCTGGCTTGACGTTTTCCTGCCTGTAAACTAGTACGTAGCCCAACAAAGCAGCGACCAACAGAGTTAGCAGAGTTGCAACGACTCTCGGTCTCATCGTCAGTACGAACACTGGACAAAGGGTTCTAAGGTTCAGGGGTTACGCCAGTAAAGGCCACCGTTCCTGAAATATTTCCACATTTCAACTCTGCGGTATGTACTGGTATATACCCGTCCAGTATGAGGTGAGATTAATGCAAAATTACGCACACCAACGTCCGCTAAATAAGATAGTCGCATATATACTACAAATAGCCCAGCCCATCAATTATCGGTACCGCGTATGCCAAGGGTTTTCCCTTTGGTGTTATTAGGTTACCCAGGGCTCATTCTGGTACACACACTGGGAAAACTGGGTACCCAAATAAAAATGTTTGTACCAGAATGAGCCCTGGGTAATCTAAGTGCAAACCCTTGGCGAACTGTGCATGCGCGGTACCGCTGGGCTGGGCCGGCTGCGTGGTCTCCCGCTAGAGTAGCTCGGGGAAAGTCTGACCCGGGTTAGCTACAGTAGTAGATAGCATGTGGGAGTCGATACACGCCCTTCGTTGTGACTTCTTGTGCCTCCAATGTACACAGAGCGAGCGGACCCGGTCGAGGTAAGCCCGTGCTAATTTACGTATTGGCTTGTTCATTGGTTTTCACGCCATAACTTCTGAACGCGGCACTTTTACAAAATTTCCATTTAAAAAATGAAGCCAGTGTAGCGCTGAACCCGTTGGTGTCGCTCTGCTTGTCACGCGTGGTGGCAGAAACGGCCGGACGGACAGACAGCTACAGACGGACAGACCAAGTACAACCCTCGCTGCGCATGCGCGCCGAGGGTTAAAAGTGTGTGTGTATACCAGACCTGAGTAGCATAAAAAAAAAGTGTGTGTATATACCCAAATGAAAACTGGGTACGCAAAATTGAAAAAGTGTGTAGCTACCCAAATTTACGTATCTTATTTAACGGACATTGGTGTGCGTCATTTTGACACTCCCATAGTCCAGTGCAATCACTGGGAAAGGTTCCATTTGCGGAGTTTGTAGCTATTTAATAACCCCTTTTCTTCTGCTTTTTGCGTCCACGAAACGGGACCATGGCATACCCTCGAGTCTCTCTACAGGTTATAAAGCTTACTAGAAGGCCTGCAATCGGGGAAAAGTCACTGGAGTTCATCCATGCGGACATAGCTACCTGCTGAGCCTGCGTGCGTACCAAGCGAACAGTTGATGACATGAACGAGGAGCAAAGAGTGACAGAGGACTTATCGGGGCACCATGTAGATCCTTTCCTTCCTTGGGCAGCACATCCTACACTTCATGAGGTTGAGAGTAGAGCATCTGCTGCTGGATGGCAAAAGATTCGAAAGGAAATCATTGACGCAGTTACTGGAAATGAAGCTATGCCTGTTCGTCAGGTTTGCTCTAAATTCCTTGCATTGTTTTGTTGTTCTAAGAGGCAACTGTATTTAAGTTTGTCTTAATTGGGTGAGGTTTGCATCTCTACGTTGTCAAGGATGCGCACCCCTCGGCTTTTATTGTTCTGAGTGTTTGAAAATGCTCACAGATGTATAAATCTGTTTCATGTGGCTGAGAAATGGGAGGTACTCTACAATCTTGCTTGTGTTGTCAGTGACTAGCAACAATTTATTTCTAGGGTGACCATTATGTACCTGTGACAAATGAGCGTCACATTGATGTTCGAAGTCATGTGTGTGATTCTAATAAAGAGATGGTATATATTTCACTGCCTTGACAAGCATGGTATAGCTAAATACCATGTGTAATGACTTCATACTTCCAGGAGTTGAGCATAGGACACAGTTCTCTTATTGCCACTGCGAACCACTCATAAAGACACTGTGTAGTGGCCAGCTACTCCAACTAATCCTCAATATGCTTTTTCTTTTGCTGTCCTGGATTGGGTGGAAGCACTACTCTTGAATGTCAAGTTGCCTTGAAAGATTTCTGCAATACTCCTAGTTTTACAACTCCTTTTTACAATCAAAAGGTTGGCAAAAAATTTCTTTTTGTTTAAAATGTGGTCTTTGTTTCTGTAGAAAAGGGATGTATATTCGTGCATGATGAATGCATTTGAAGAGTTCAGGTTCAAAGAAAATGGTTCTCTTAGTATTATACTCAACTTGCTTGTCTTGATATAAAGCAGATACATGTATATGAAGCACAACTTGAGGCATCTAAATTATATATCCAGCCATCTTGATTCAGGAAATGTCTGCCCTGCCTGCCCACAGGTTGGTATATACCATTGTTCTTGCTTGTTCCTTACTTTTTTAGCATATATAAAATGGAGGGAAAGTAGTTTATGCTATGGATGCTCTCTTTGGTTTGCCACGAAAAGGTAAGCTGGTGTTAGTTACAAGGCACCTCTCCTTGGAAGTCTTTTTTTAGGATCAGTCCTTAGTTGACCAGCTTGTTGCAGAAAACAAGAAGACTAAATCATTGTCTACGGTGCGTTAGTACATTCTGTATAAAGCCCCATTCATTTATTCTTTTTTCATAGACATGCAATGATTTTTTAGCGGGAAAAATAATATATGCTTTCAAGTGCAAATAGGTATAATGCTCTTGATGAAACAGCAGTATTTGGATGTTCCTGCCGTCATGAATTTCCTGTTTATACTTGAAACATGGGGAAAGGTAAAAGTGCCCAGAATTTGGAAACCTAGTTTTCCATTCCTCATCCAGATTGGCATAATTATGCTGTGTGGGTGCTAGAAACGATGCTTTCTAGGCACATGTCTAGTGGATCGGATCTATTTTATGTATGACATAGCCTGTACATTATATAGGGCATTTGCAGGTAAGTGGGCACTTAAAACATGATGTTGTGTTGTAAAATGGTTTTATTTCTCAGTCTATAGGTCGAGCTGATATTCTCAACAGCTGTCATTAAAATAAAGCAACAGGTCCCGGATTGAGTGAGACATGTCATAAATGTCTCAGCAGGCCGAAAGGCAGGCACAGAGGCTGTGCGTAAGTCTGTATAATGGCAGAAAGAAAGATCGCCACAGCGTGCATGGGCGGGATGAAAGGGGTGTGTCGATTTGGACAGAATTACGCATACGTGTAGGAGAGTTGCTGGAAAAGGCCGAAAATTTGTGACTGAAAGAGATATATGCGCGGCCCATTTGATTTCTAGGGCTTCTGTGGTACAATCTTGTTTGTACAGTGGTTTCCTGCTTCAATATGCGCGTGCGCATTCCTAGTATAATACGTAGTGGTGTTGGCGGGCTTTGGGGCTCTGGTTTCCTTACACTGATGACATGATTGTGTTTTTAGCACCTTGTGCTTCAGCTCTACTGATAATGTTGGTCATCTGCAACTCATTTGCCACAAACCAAAAACTGGATTTTAAAAGACGCAACTGATTTGTTTAAATTTATGCAGCATCTATCTGCTACTATTACTATTGTTTAGTATAAGTTATACATTTGGGTCATACTAGCACCCTTGATGACTCTGAAAAACTGTACTGAAGTGTGAAATCGCATGTAATTATGCATTATTATGTAATTATGCCCAACGATAGCATTACCCTTACCGTACTTACGCACGGGGATAAGTAAACAAGATCTAGTCATCAAATCCCAGTGTCTTCCATACCTCTGGTTCCATTTTGAAACTTTGTTGGTTTTTCGTGACAATTTTTTCAAACTTCTGAAGAAGTCCCAGTTTGAGCATTGCATCATAGACGGTGTAGTAGGCAAAGTGAACTACTAATGCTTCACTACCACTACGCAATTAGGGTGCGCCGCTTTAGCTGAATATGTAACGGTCCACCATTGCTCGTCATCAGGCCCTATAGGTTCAATACTGGCCATTTCATACGTTAGTAAATGTCTGTCCAACAAGAATGCGTTAATGCTGAAGCGCTTTCGATCTGGAGTGAGGTAGAGTTGGTTGAAAAAGTACCTTTCCAACTGGTTGTTTTTGTGGTGATGCATAAAAGAACGAAGGGTCAGCTCTGCACAGTCAGCTGTTTTCCAACCACAATGGGCATGAGGATCAAAATCAAAAACGAAATGCTTAGGATTGGTTTCATTGTAGACATCATTCTTCTGGTGCAACCAACTGCATCTCCAGTTTGAACCTGCAATGTTGAAGAAGTGCATGAAACACTGGGAGGAGTTCTGCTTCTCAATCATGGTCCTGAAGGCACCTGGGTGGATGTACACAATATCATCATCTAGTTTGAAGTATTTGTCATATGGGTGCTGAATAATTCCCTCGAACACTTCCTTGTAGGCACGGTGAAATGTTACTGGTGGCTTTCCCAAGTAGTGAACGGAGAATATGACGTGTTTGGAAGCGTTATTAGCTACTTCAATGAATTTGAGAAGACTTTGTTCCGTTTGCTTGTCGTACTTTATCATCATGAACCAGACCTCATGAATGACACCTCCATTTCTATGTAGCTCCCTGTAAATGTGGGCCAGCTGGAATCTTAGAAACTTCCACCTACCCGTGAAGATGAAGATGATGTTGCGCGGTGATTCACTCCGGCCATTTACCTCCGGCCTAACGCAATCTTCATGCTTTGGCACGAGCTTTGGCTTGACGTAACCCTGCCTGTAAACTAGTACGTAGCCCAACAAAGCAGCGATCAACAGAGCTACAACGACTCTCGGTCTCATCGTCAATACGAACACTGGACAAAGGGTTCTAAGGTTCAGCGGTTACGCCAGTAATGACCACCGTTGCTGAACTATTTCCACATTTCCACTCTGCGGTATGTACTGGAAATAATGGTAAAATTATACCCGTCCAGTATGGGGGAGATTAATGTCAAAATTACGCACACCAACGTCCGTTAAATAAGATAGTCGCATACTGCGTACGTATAGCTGAGCCGCGGGAACTACGCGATTTAGTGAGCCGAGGGGCGAGGGCCCTTGGCTGTCGGCGTCCCGAGCGCAGCGAGGGCGCTATGTGCACACGGAAAGACCCCTCCCGTTTTCAATATAATAATACTAGAAGTGCAGTAACAAACCCAGGCTTACATGGAATGCAACACATAGCTAATACATACTAATATGGAGTGAGATGCAAAACTGCTTTGATTCTGTTTCCATGTAAAGCATACACACAAGAGCACCAGTTTAGTAGGAGCCTTATAAATGGAAAACCTGGTGTGTGTACACACCGTACAAGCCCCCATTCAGGGAAAGAGGTCTGGTTGTTGTGCTAAAGCTGGTGGTTTCAATGATGCATTACGTCAGGGCTGCTGTAGTTAAAAAGGCATTTTACATAATTAACCCTCGGCGCGCATGCGCAGCGAGGGTTACGGTAGTTGTCCCGTAAGTGTGTCAGTCTGTCTCTCTGTCTGTTACCACGTTTTCTGCCACCACGCGCACGAAATCAGGTAAATAGCGATATGATCGGGGTTCAGTGCTACACTGGGTTGATTTTAAAAAAGGCGATTTTCGTAAAACTACTGTGTTTTAAAGTTATGGCGTGAAAACCAAGTGAACAAGCCAATATGTAAATTAGCACAGGCTTACCTCGACCGCGTCCGTTCGCTCTGTGTGTCTTGAAGGCACAACAAGTCACAACGAAGGGCATGTATCGACTCACGCATGCTATTTACTACTGTAGCTAGCCCGTGCCAGACTCTCCGCGAGCTACTAGCGGGATACCACGAGTAAAGGCATAAAAAACCCAGCCCATCAATTAGTGGTACCGCACATGCGCAGTTCGCCGAGGGTTTGCACTTTAGTGCTTTTCATTATTGTACAGCTGCAATTCCGTCCATTATACCAGACCCTCTCTCCTTGCTTGAGGGTCTAATCTGCGAACAGACATCCGAGAGGGAGTAACAGACACACAGACACACAGACCCAATGAAAAGCACTAAAGTGCAAACCCTCGGCGAAGTAGCTCGCAGAGAGTCTGACACGGGGTAGCTACAGTAGTAGATAGCACGCGAGAGTCGATACACGCCATTCGTTGTGACTTCTTGTGCCTTCAAGATAGACAGAGCAAGCGGACCCGGTCGAGGTAAGCCTGTGCTAAATATAAACGCATGCGCATTATCCGCCAGCAATAAAATGGCGACTATCGGTATTAGCCATACAATGGTGGAAGCGCTGTAGCTCTGCAACGGAGCATTTTCAGAGAAAAACCGTTCATAATTTCTGACCTTCAACGCCCGTTAAGTACGTCGCATCGTTTGTGAGACGAACAGACAGTCGAGAAGTGAGATTGAGAGTAACAGACACACACACAGACAAACCCAAGTATAGTAACCCTCGCTGCGCATGCGCGCCGAGGGTTAATGAAAAGCACTGAAGTGCAATTTTGCAAACCCTCGGCGCACTGTGACGCGCACGCGTAAGTAAACGCATGCGCCGTACCACTAATGGATGGGCTGGGTTTAGTTGCTGTCTTGCCAGCTCGCGCAGAGTCTGACACAGGCTAACTACACTACTAGATAGCATGCGAGAGGCAATACACACCCTGCGTTGCATCTTCTGGCGCCTCCGAAGTACGCAGAGCACGCGGATCGATCCGACTGTGGTAAGCCATCCCGTCCGTTGTGTATTTGCTTATTGGCTTTTTCGCGCTCTAGCTTTGCAACGGAGAAAGTTCTGACCTTCATTCACCGAGTAGGTCGTATCCTTTGTGAGAGGAACAAACACCCGAGAAGTGAGATTGAGAGTAACAGACAGACACACAACTACAGTAACCTTCGATGCGCCGAGGGTTAAGCACTTCAGTGCTATCTAGTCGGGTCTGTCCGTCCGTTTGTACTCTACATCTCACCTCTCGAATGTCTGTTCCTCCCAGAAACGATACCATCTACCCAACGGGCGACGAAGGTCAGAAAGTATGTGTGGGGTTTTCTCTGAAAATGCTCCGTTGCAGAGCTAGAGCGCGAAAAAGCCAATATGCAAATACGCAACGGACGGGAAGGCTTACCGCGGTCTGATCGATCCGCGTGCTCTGCGTACCTCGGAGACACCAGAAGATGCAACGCAGGGCGTGTATCGCCTCTCGCATGCTTGTAGTTAGCCCGCGTCAGACTCTGCGCGAGCTGGCAAGAGACCACGAGTGACAGCTAAAACTAAACCCAGCTCATCGATTAGTGATACAGCGCATGCGTTTACTCACACGTGCGCGTCACAATGCACCGAGGGTTTGCACTTCAGTGCTTTTCTTCATTCATTACCCTCGCGCGCATGCGCAGCGAGGGTACAGTAATTAACCCTCGGCGCGCATGCGCAGCGAGGGTTACTGTAGTTGGGTTTGTCTGTGTGTGTGTGTGTCTGTTACTCTACATCTCACTTCTCGAGTATTTGTTCGTCCCAGAAACGATGCCATCTCCCCAACGGGCGACGAAGGTCAGAAAATATGTGGGGTTTTCTCTGAAAATGCTCCGTTGCGAAGCTAGAGCGCGAAAAAGCTAATATGCAAATACGCAACGGACGGGAAGGCTTACCACGGTCGTGCTCTGCGTACTTCGGAGGCACCAGAAGATGTAACGCAGTGCGCCGAGGGTTTGCACTTCAGTGCCTTTCATTGGGTCTGTCTGTCTGTCTGTTTGTCTGTTTGTCTGTTTGTCTGTTACTCTATATCTCACTCCTCGAACGTCTGTTCGTCCCAGAAACGATACCGTCTACCCAACGGGCGACGAAGGTCAGAAAATAAAGGTGATTTTCTCTGAAAATGCTCCGTTGCAAAGCTACAGCACGAAAAAGCCAATATGCAAATACGCAACGGACGGGATGGCTTACCGCGGTCTGTTCGATCCGCGTGGTGCTCTGCGACCTCGGAGGCACCAGAAGATGCAACGCAGGGCGTGTATCGCCTCTCGCATGCTGTCTAGTAGTGTAGTTAGCCCGCGTCAGACTCTGCGCGAGATGGCTAGAGACCAGCCAGAACTAAACCCAGCCCATCAATTAGTGATACAGCGCATGCGTTTACTTACGCGTGCGCGTCACAATGCGCCGAGGGTTTGCACTTCAGTGCTTTTCATTCTGTCAGAAGTGACAACTCACTTCTCCAGTCATAGATCGCGTCCAAACGGGTTTACATTCCCAGCGGCCGACGGAGGTCAGAAAATAAATGTGGGATATTCTCTGAAACTGCTTCGTTGCAGTACGGTGGCTTTTTAGGGCCACAAATACCATCGCAAAACTTCCGTTGTAGAGACTAGTAGCTAACTTCCGTTCTAACCCAGGTAAATAGCTAGCTAAAGGTTCTAGCTGGCGGAATAGCTGAGGTATATACTGTTGCGGGGTCATGAGTACTCTCATTAGCTACTCTGTTCGCCTCGCCATAATTCATGGGTTAAAGGTCATACATGGTTCGCAAGGAGTGGAGAGAGAGCCTGGGAATGAGGCTAGTATAATAGCTACTGTAAAGATGCACTCAATATCTGCAAAAAACGGATAGTGTAGATCACTGACTTCATGTTCATTGATGTTTCAGCGAAACTCCACTGGATTAGCTTTTGGTGGCATATGGCTAACATCTAGAAAAATATACTGACTTCAGACAAAGGCATGGGGGTCTTTGTTTGTGTAGCTATAGCTACCACAAACAGCAAAGCAGTATTTTCCCTCTAGGTTCTCTTGATCAAACAAGGTGTTTCAGCTTAGCCTATAATCGAACAGAATTGAACTTGGGAAGTTGGTTCAGAATGGAAGTCAGCCCAAAATGGAAGTTGGAAGTCATGGATAGCAAAGTTTATACTAGGAACAACTTTCTGAAACCTTGTCCCAACGGGTATAATATATCTCAGGACCAACACAGCATTATCTAACTTATGGAACATTGAGCTACAAGTGTACAGTAATATTAACCCATGAATCATGCCTGGAACAAGTAATACAAGAAATGTTTCCTGGATATAAGTGACTTTCATCTCAGCAGAATTCATGTACTCTAGGATCTGAGGATAAATCATACAGTGGCACATTTAATTCACACAACTTTCATAACACATTTTAGACTCAGTAACACGCAATTGACTAATCAGATTCCGAGTTTAGAGGTAACTATTTGTTAGTTACCTCTTCTGCGGTAACTATTTCGAAGCCCTGCGGAACTTTCCTTATGCGTAATGGAAACCACGCCTTCAATTTGGAGAGACTCCGTGCTTCGGAAGGCAAACGGGGCTTCTGGAAAGGTTCGTTCTCACGAAAACCCAGGTACTCGGTGTTCTAGTAGGA